AAGGAAGTGAAAATAAAAGAAGCCTGAAAGGTACAGCAGTGGCAGGTTGGCCAAAGTCTTAGGTGAGTTTCCGCTTGAGCTGTGACATTCTCTACTCTATGAACTAGTGATAGCAGCCATTCAGTGGTCTGTGGTAGAGTTTAGACTTACATTCTTTTGTTTGTTTTTTGAGGGTTATTTGTTTGGAGTTTTTGTTGTTGTTGTTTTTTGTTCTATTTTGTTTTTGAGACAAGGTTTCTCTGTGTAGCCCTAACTGACCGGGAATTTACTTTGTAGACCAGGCTAGCCTTGAATTTTTACATCCACCTGCCTCTGCCTCCCTGTTGCTGGGATTAAATGTGTGTGTGCCACTACCACGCCTCAGCCGGACTTGGATTTTTGAGCCTGTCTCTAAGCTGTGTAAATCTTTTTTTAGATGTCTTCATCTTGGCACTGTAGTCAGAAAACCAGGCTACATTCCTGACACCAGAAGTAGAAACAGTGAAAACTCTAGCAGTCTCTCCCGTGGCGCCAGACACAGTTTATAGCATTTCACAGAGCTTTGGTAATCTCTTAAGAACTTTGCTACCTCTTCCAGGAAAGAAGGAAGGAAGGAAAGAAAGAAGGAGGGAGGGAATAAGGGAGGGAGGCTTTCTCTTTATTATGGAGTTCCAACAGACTTAAAATTTTCTATATAGATCAGGCTGTCTAGAACTCACAAAGATCCACCTGCCTCTGCTCTCAAGTGCACCTTTACACCAGGCTAAGAATTGTGTTTTTAACAGTTATGAGGTGCAGAGGGGTGACAATATCCAGAAAGCTAGAGAATTCTGGAACTCCCTAGAATGCCTGAGATCTTTCCTGTGATATCAGACTGTCTCCTTAATAGATACAGAAACAGCCAAGGCCCCTTGATCTGATGTCTTAACTATATCACAAGCTAAAGAAGATTAATGAGTCTGATCCGTAAGAGGTAGCATTTCTCTAGACACTGTTCCAGGCTCTTATACACCATTTTTGTGAGCCTTTAAAACAGCCCAATATACAGGACCATGGTCCCCTTTCACTGATCACGAAATGGAAGCAATCAGTTTGACCATCTTACACAGGTTGCCCAGCTAGTCGTAGGGCACAGTCATCATGGTGAAACCCAGATAGCCTGAATCCAGTGCTTACACTCTAAGAGGCTGACAGTGGACTCAGGAGCATGTGCCAGCACACACAGTTCTAAGCAGATATCCTTTCCGAGTTCATTAGTGCCTTAAGAGAAAGGGGCATGAAGGTGGGGTGTTCTCAGTCTTGGGACTTCAGTGACTCCGTTTTAAAAGAAGTTCATTCCTTTTGATTCTGTCCTCATACCTCTATTGTGTTTGTTGTCATCTGCCTCTTTGTGCCATTTACAGCTGTGGAGAGATTTCTAGTCATTTAACTCCATGGTGATCCCAGAAAAGTTTTCTCCTCTGTAGCATGGATGCTCCTCTGCCTTGAGACAGTATGGCATTAGAGCAAAAAGCAACATAGGAGCTAGGTGCTGGGTCCAGCAGGTTACTAGACTTCCTATACCACCTCAGACCCCTCTACAAACATCAGCTGACTCTGCATTCCTTGGTCTGATTGGCACTCCAGCTGCTTCATCCTTATGCCAGGACCACACATCCTTCATTTCAGAAGCTTTCTAATGAATCTTAAAAAGAAGTCATTGAAGTCGTCTGGCTTTGTTCTTTTTAAAGCTCACTTGGCTGCTTTAAATCCTTTGTATGTCTATAAAAGTCGCAGTCTGTTTTTCAGGTTCTAGAAATAGACGCCTGCTGGGATTTTAAGTCAGGTTTTATGGAATCTGTCAATTCGTGGCAAGGCTTGACATGTGAGCAGCAGCTGAGCCCCCAACCCATGGCCTGTCAGCTTTGTATAAACATTCCTTTGGTTCCTCTCAGCACTGCTTTGCAGTTTCCAGTTAGTTCACATGATTGCCCCTGTTTCAGTATGTTACAAATAGTGGTGGGTTGGTTTGTTTTTTCAAGACAGGGTTTCGCTGTCATAGAACTCACCCTGTAGACCAGGCTGGCCTCAAACTCAGAAGTATGCTTGACTCTGCCTCCCAAGTGCTGGGATTGTGCCAACCACAGCGTGGCTGGTGATCTCTGGAAATACAAGTAATTGTGTGCTATACCTTGTCAAAATCTGATTAGTCTAGTCAGGGTGTGTCGGGGGGGGGTGTTTTTTATATTTCTTTTGCATTTTTCACACACTATTGTATCTCAAAATGAAGACCATTTAACTTCATGTTCTTCTGTCTTTTCTTCTGCCTTCCATACTTGCTAAGGTCTTTGGAGCAGTACTGGGTATCATTTTGCGGTTAGTTCTGGGGGTCGTTTTGAGGAGCGGAGATACTTTTACTCTGTTCTCTGCTCAGTTTTGTCATGACTCTGTTGAATTTTGCCACATGATTTTCTTGTTTCTGTTATAATGGCTAGATTTATTTTCTTAGTTTGGTTAATCCATTACACTATAATGTAAACTAACTTTACATTCCTATGGTAAGTCCCAGTAGAGTTTCATCCTTGGTTTATAGTAGTAAGAATTGAACCAGGGCTTTATACCTGTCAGGCCAGCACTCTACCCTGAGCTGCTACTCAGCTCTTGTTTATTCTGAGACAAGGGCCTTACTAAACTGTCCAAGTGAGCCTTGAACTTGTAATCTAGTAAACTTGGTTGTAAGACTTACAACTTGGAAATTGTGAGCTGACTAGCCTGGAGTTCGGGTAGTTCCCATGCTTCTGTTCCCCAAAATGTTGTGATTAGAGGTGTACACTGCTTAGCTGCTCTTCATTTTTTTTAATATTTATTTATTTATTACGTATACAATATTCTGTCTGTGTCTATGCCTGCAGGCCAGAAGAGGGCACCAGACCCCATTACAGATGGTTGTGAGCCACCACGCGGTTGCTGGGAATTGAACTCAGGACCTTTGGTAGAGGAGGCAATGCTCTTAAACTCTGAGCCATCTCTCCAGCCCGCTGCTCTTCATTTTTATGTTGTGCTTTGAGCACCTTGTCCTTGGTGACCAAGCCTGTGGATCTGACTGCTGGTGTTTATGTATCTATAGCAGTGTTCCTTTTGCAGCAATACTGGGTTGTGCCCGCCCCACCCCATGTGATTATATTAGTAAGGGTGGCCTTTCCAAAAGCCAACTTTTGTTTTACTGCAGTATTTGTTGTGTTCTGTTTGTTTTGTTCAAAATCTCTATTTTGTGGAGATTTAATCTACACATTTTCTACTATCTTAAGATTTTAAAATTTACTGCAGACCTTCTTAAAATCATCATTTAAAATTGTGAAACTCTCGGTGAGCACTGTTTTTGTAAAAACTTAGCTATGCACCTACTTTACTTCCAACTTACGGAGTTTTATGAGGGAGGGGAAGCATCTGCATGTATCTCCATTATGTTTCCTTCTTTAAAGTCTGTGTGTGCTGCCGGGCAGTTATCTTTTTCTTCCTCTTTGTTATATCCAGACAGGAATAAGTTTTCTATCCTGCTTGCTTTTTTCTCTTTTGCTGCATCCTTTGTTTAATTAGGTATTTTCTATCACCTTATAGACCATTGTGACCTCTTTCACCCACTGCTTCTGCACCTCAACCACCCGGGACACTTAACCTTTCAGACATTCATCCTCTGGCCTCTGACAGAGCCCCAAAGATATGAGAATGTACATGATTTCTTCTTTCCTCCTATGGAACAGTTGTTTCCCAGATGGTGTCCAGTTTTCTGACTGCAGAGGAAGAGTCATTGTGGTTCTGTTCACCCTCCATGACCCAAAGTAGAAGCTGGGATTTATATATATATATATATATATATATTCCCCAGATGTTCTCATCTCAGCTGCTTATGTAAATAGAGTAACTAACTGTAGCAAGTGGGGTTCCATCAGAAGACTGGCTGGGGCAGTTAGCCTCAGCACACCTTCCCATCAGCACAGTGCTGAGAGTCAGCTAGAGTGGTGGAATAGGTGCTGTGGAGAGTCCATCACCAACCACCTTGCTCCTATGAAAGCAAACCTATGGCTGGATCAGCTCTTCCCCTGGCTGACCCCTGCTTGGAGTCAGCTCCATTAAGTCGCCTCCTCCATGGCAGTGATAATGGGTGCAGGAAAGAGTGTCCCGACTATGCTCAAGAGTGTCAACGAGCTGTGTTCTCCTTACTGTCTCCTTGTGGCCTGCTGTCTTCATTTTGCTTGTGACTGCCTCTTGGGTTTGCAATAGAGGAGAAAGTAGTGAGTGATCTCAAAAAGGACACCACTCACCTTTATTTGTGCCAGCACAGTCTTATCTGCAGGTCATCAACAGTCAGCTGAGTGTGCTTGTGTCATGCCTGTCTCAGTTCCCCAAGAGTGCAATCAACACTGTTTAATGTCAGAGAAGCCTGGGAAAGTTGTCTAGGAAGGGACAGAAAAGGCCATCCCTCACTTCCTTGATTGCTGTCCAGCATGACAGACACTCTTAGGTTATCTGTGACAGGTCAGAGTCAGGGACCACAGGGTTCCTTCCCTGAGATTCAGATCTCCACTCAACAGACATCTGTATGTGATAGCAAAGACTGATAGCACATGGCCATTAAAATTACACAAAGTACCTGAAGAAAGCAGCCTTCTCTATTGAATAACTTTAGCAAGAACACATGCAAGACTATTTGGATGCACAAAAGAAATGAGAAAATTCTTTTTAAAATTTACAGCTACCGTTCCAGTGTTCCCTCTAAAGCCTAGGCACTGTACTGACTGTTATGCTGGAGAGCCTGGACCTTAGAAAGGTTCTCCATAACTTACTCATTCAAGAGTCAAGTCACCTCGCTGCGAGATTTGAGACAAGTCAAAAGCTCAGCCCCTGACCACTGCCCTGCACTCTCACACACTTCAGGTAGTCTAGGTATGACCTTGGGCATACCATTCCTGTCTGGGTTTGCTTTCCTACTTTCTTAAAATGGGATCATACCCTTCCAAGTTCCAAGCTCTTAGTGAATGCATGGTGATGGCATCTCGTCAATGTTTCAGGCAGAGGAAAAGGCAGATGCACTGAATAAGGAGTTGCTGATGACCAAACAGAAGCTGATTGATGCAGAAGATGAGAAGAGGCGGTTAGAAGAGGAGTCTGCACAGGTGAGGGGATCCTGCCCCCATCCCTGACACCTGAATTTTGCGAATACTGGTGGGTTCAGCTGGAACCCCCTCAGCACTGGAGAACCCGGACAGTGGTTCCTTGGATACCTACCTCTATCATAGAATACACGAAGAGCTGAGGGTACCATGGGATCCAAAATGAGGTCCTACCTCCTCCCTCTGCACTCTTGCAGGACCCTTCACAGATGCTATCTCAGGCAGGACTGGCCAGGGTGAGCCTGTCTAAGCTCATCTTGTGTAAGCCCTCTCATCCTAGGCTTTTCCATCTGTGTCTCTTTTCCAGCACTGTCTCTTGTACAGTGCTGAACTGACTTGGGCAGAAGCCCTGTTGGAACTGAATACCAGCAGTTTTGAAGTGTTACTTTTCTCCATCTATTGTCTTTTAAGTACAGAGGATCAGTGTTGCACTGAGAGGAGGAGGAGGGAGATGGGTGTGGTAGGTGAGGCACTATTTGGAAGGCGCAGCACTACGCAAATAATAACGAAGCTTCCTTTTTCACTTAAAACATTAACTTTTCTTTAATGTGTGCAGTTAAAGGAAATGTGCCGCCGGGAACTTGACAAGGCAGAATCAGAGATTAAAAAAAACAGCTCTATCATTGGTGACTATAAGCAGGTGAGTTTCTTTACCCCAAGACCTGGGCTGTGCACATGGTGAGGAGACTGCACTCTGGCCTCAGTGCAGCAGCACACTGGCTTCACGCCCCTCTTAACCTCACTCAGTTTTACGTGTAAACTAAGCAAGCCGGGAATATTGTTGAGTTCCCAGTAGGTAGGCATGCTTGGCAAGTGCTAGCATATAGGGGCACATGAATGTTTCAGGTGATCTAAATGTTAACATATCACAATCACAGAACCATACTCAACTCTTCCATTCTATACCACGGATCTCAAAGGGGCCTATAGAGAACCTTGTAGGCCAATTCCCACCTCATCTATGCACTCACAGCATATTCCAGGTGCTGATAGAATTTATCTAAAGTCCAACTTATGTAGGTGATATTGAACCAATGTCTGTGGTTTTATGTTTCTTTAGATTTGTTCTCAATTGAGTGAAAGACTGGAGAAGCAGCAGACAGCCAATAAAGTAGAAATTGAGAAAATTCGGGTAAGACTTCTTAACTAAAGAGATTTCATACCCTCTTGTTCATATTATGGCCTATCCTTAACACATAGGTCCAAGTTCATCAGACTGAGCAGTCCAGATAAACTGCCTGTCACAGGCTTAAGCTTGGTACTCAACAGCTTCTTCCATGTCTGTTTCCTCTGGAAGGGTTGCGAATGAGACCAAATGTGCTATGGCTTTTAGATCTCATACTTGGATGCCTATGGTGAACATCACTAGGAAAGCTGCATCAAGTATTGCTTGAGGTGGGGGTTCTTGCTGCCCTGCAGACTCTGGATGAGTTTTAAAAAAAAAAAAAAAACCCTCACACCACAGTTCCAGCCTTTCTTGGTCTTAGTTTATAAAACTGCATTCATCCCAAATTACACTTTCTTTATAAACATTTACATCTCTAAATTTGAGGTACGGTTTTGTTTTGGTTTTGGTGGTATAATAGAATTTTTTTCCCAATGGCATCCTTTTTTGGCGAAATGTAAAGTATTTGTGATTGTTTTACATACTTTGTTATTTTTTATTATTTTAAGAGTTTTTATGTTTTTAATAATTACAGTTTTTTATTTTTATTATTTTTATTATTATGGGTCAGATAAGTGCATTTGAGCACAGGTGCCTATGGAGGGCCCTAGAGCTAGAATTGCAAGAGGTTGTAAACCACCTGATATAGTGCTGAAATCAAACTCAAGTCCTCTAAAGAGCATTGCATGCTCTTAACTACAAGCCATTTCTCCAGCATCTTTATCCAGTTTTGTGCCCCACTTCTTTATACTAGTGTTAGTATTTACCCATTCTCCTGTATTATCAAGGCTCCCCTGAACAAGCACCGACTACCATATCCTACCGTCCCCAGCTGGATAGTATCTCTGTATGCCCAGCTAGTGCAGGTCCTTGTATGTGAGCCTTTCTTCTCTTACCCCAGAACTCCTCACAGTCTACATTGGGTCTGGAACACCAACCAGGTAGTGTCCGAAGTAGGTTTCTGACAGTTTCCCAAAGTAAACGGACTTTTCTGATACAAGACACACTAAGACACAAAGTACTTGACAGGGTGCTGCTGTCTTTGGGTCTTTTCACTTTTGGTGTTCACTCCAGCAAAAGGTAGATGACTGTGACCGCTGCCGAGACTTCTTTAATAAAGAAGGGAGAGTGAAGGGCACCAGCTCAGCCAAGGGGGTTCCAGATGAAGACACGGATGAAGAAAAAGAGACACTCAAGAACCAGCTGCGGGAAATGGAGCTGGAACTGGCCCAGACCAAATTACAGCTGGTAGAAGCCGAGTGCAAGATCCAGGTAACAGCAATTCATTCATGAAGGTGCACACCCTCCATAGCAGCCCAGGTTCCTGATATGTACTAGAGACCCCAGAAACGACTTGTGTGGTTTGGTATGTCTTGATCCCCATCACCACTTAAACTTGACCATAGCCCTTCTGGGGAGAACACAATCCTCTTTACCTACCAGGGCATGTTTAACCATTTAGCCTGACTTAAGAATTACCAAGAGAGTGTCAGTGTTTTTAGTGGGGCATAGAGCAACTGTTTAAAAACTGTAGCTCCCCCATTCAGTCTGGGTTAGTAATCTCCCTACACCTCAGGCTCCTGGCTCATTTCTACAGAAATGAGAGTCCTATTGTTTTTTGGGCTATACTGAATATAAAAATTATATAGCATATATATATGGGGATGGGGTCTAAACAAATGCAAACCTTTTTGTCAAAACACTCATCACTTAACTAGTTTTGTGACCTTGGGCATATTTCCTAATTTATATGAGCCTCCTGCCATCCTTATCACTAGGGCAGCATCAGTGGTTCAAGTCTAAAACTTCAGACCAGCTATACCATGTCAGAGGCCATTACTGGACATGTCCATTTTTGTCAGGTATTGCCCTCAGTTCTGGGAAAGTTTGTGGGATCGCCCCGGACAATCACAAAAAAAAAAAAAAAAAAAAACCACACACCAAGATAGTCTCTAAACTGTGGTCAGAAAACAGACAGAGCAGCTGCAGACGGACAAGAGCAATGAGCATTCTGGGCTGAGGTAATCACTCAGACCACAACCTAGTGAGGAGTCTCAGGAAAGGGATGAAAACCAGGGTCCGGACTGTAAAGCATCTCAAATGCCATACTGAGTGATTTGGATTTATAGGGGATTTAATTAGATGAAGATGTGCCTGACAGTCAATCAGGTGGTTGTAGTAACAGGCTAGGCAAGAAAGGGCTTTACTAGAAAAGCTTCCAGATCCGTAGGCACTGCAAACCTGCCTCAGAAGGATGAGTAAACAGAGCTCTTGGTTAAGCTCTGCAGAGGCTCACATTCTCTGTTATCTCTACAGGACTTGGAACACCACTTGGGCCTTGCCCTCAGTGAGGTGCAGGCAGCCAAGAAGACCTGGTTTAACCGCACACTGAGCTCCATAAAGACAGCAACTGGAGTTCAAGGGAAAGAGACATGCTGAGACTAGCTGCTGCCTCCAGACACCTCCAGAAAACATACCACCTTTGGTTGCCTTCTTTGGCCAGATGTGTGATTCTGTGACATGTTCCAGGACCAGAATGTACCTAGCTCAGAGCTGTATAGCAAGATCAGTGGGCCAGGGCTCCTGCAGCAGGCTGCCAGCCCCACTGATGCTCTGGACATGCACCCGCCTGAGGGCCATCCAGGCCTCTGCCATGAATGAGCACCTCACCCAGTCAGAGTTGAAGCATCCTACAATGTGTTAGTTTTTTGTTTTCTAAACCCTTTATTTAAAAAGACAAGAAAAAAATACATACACACACACACACACACTTTATCCTTTAGGTTAGGGGCAGGGGTTCAGTGCTGGCAGAAGTCCCCAGAGAGACAAGAAGCACTTTGTTTGAGTAGAAGAGCTTTGTAGTAATGGCTCGTCACCTAATTTTGTTAATCAGTATAGTGCACAGGTTTTGATTTGGCATTATTCACATTTCTGAGCAATTCTATGCAACTCTCATAGTCCTGTCTTTTTTTTTTTTTTTTTTTTTTTTTTAAAAAAAAAAACATTAGCTGCCAGAACAACTTCAGAAGGCTGGCATGGGCCACATGACTGTGAGACTGAATCAATCATGATGTGGACAGCTCTTACTTTGTTTAATGTGTCCTGTGTACATATGTGTGTGTATGTATTAGTATAAATATATAGATATATAGATATATAGATATAAATACCTTTCCCAGTACCCTGCACTGACAGTGTTTAACTCCCAGACTCACCCGATAATTAGTACCACTGCCATCTGTGGTTATGGAGCACTTCCTGTTCTTTCTGCCATTGTGGGAGCTGGCAAGAGCTCCTTCACCTCTAATGTTTGCACAAGTGAGGAAGACTGAGCTGTGTACGCACACACTATATGGTCCTACTTCCTGGCCTGTGGATCTCACTGGTCAGATGGGCTGCAGAGTCTTACTTCAAAAGCTATAAATTAGTGGTTTTAGCACTTTTTTTTAATTAAAAAAACAAAACCTTTTGACTTAATTTATGTGGCGATATGCTGACAAGCAGTCTCAGAGGGGTTCGTTGTTTCTGCCCTTTGGAGGTGGCATGGGTTTGTATATAAGGACTCGAGTCGTTTTCTCTTTCCCTGTTGGCTTTACTAATGCTTGATGGAGATCTACAGTGGGGAGATAACAAGTGGCCAACCCTTCCCCATACCATCCCCCACCACTTCCAGTGTCTGTCTTGTTCAGTTAGTTACCACACTGTAAGCCCATCTAAAACTAGGTGTGTGGACATTGTGCTAGGGTAGTTTGTGCGTCAACTTTATGAACTGAAATATAAACCAGTAAAATTGTATTACTATTTCTTTTGTTCGTTTTAACAGCATATTCATTAAATATTTTGGTACAAACGGCATTGCTTTGTACAAAGCAGTTTTATGATTTGCGTGTTCTTTTCCCATCCTTCAGTACCAGTCATGACCTGCATGTGCTGCCACACGCGCACATCAGGCAGAGCTGAGATGTGTCAACCACATGTGGGAAGAACAGAGGTACAGCTTGTTGGGTTTAAGAAAGAGATGGGTGCATGTGGCGCTCCCTGAGAAGTACAGTGCTATGGTTGACAGGTGAGATAGCCCAGTGCTTAAAATCTATGGAAGGTTTTCCCGAGGAAAAGGCAGAATTATGTTTGGAAAGGCAAATCATCTCATCAGTTGGAGATGGGAGAGGAAATAGCAAAGGGCTGGTGGTACTGGGAGGGAAGTAGAGTTAGCTCGAACACCTGGGCCCTGGGATACTTGTTTGGCCATAGGCAAAGCAGTGGCAAGGGCAGAGATGTCTTTACTGAGATTCCTTACTCTCTGGCTGATCCTTTTAACATCTCTACATCCTATGCATGCAGGTACCCAAGCCCTTTATTAACACTCTTTAATCCTCACTTCTCTAAATATGAGTATTATTGCTTTTCTACCATGCCACCCAACTCCCCTATTGCCCAGACCTTCAGAACCACCATAAACTGTCTGAGTGGCCCCTGCCTGGCTTGCCTACCTAACTGCTAATCCTTGGGCCCAGCCTGGGATAGGTGCTCTTAGAGAAGCCTGGACGGTGGCTCCAGAGCACAGTTGAGACCATACAGGGTGGAGGGCATACTTCTGGGGTCCACATTTGCTGGCTAGCTAGCTCCATACTTTTGCTGGCTCAAGGGTCCCATGTCCAGAAGTGTATCTTGGCAGAAATCTCCATCTTAAAGCTATACCATCTGAGAAAGGAACCCCCATACAGCAACCAATCTTAGTATTTGGGACTACAGTAACTCCAATAAGAATCTTGAATTGGCAAAATGCTTTACAGTTGTAGGACATGTTGCTGTACCGCTGAAGGTCTGTAAAGGAGACAAGAAGGTGGGGGACACAACTATGCAGGAACAGATAGGGATTTGCTGTGCAGAAGCAGAACAATGTTTAGGAAGGAGAGTGAGTAAGTCAGGTGGGGAACTACTGGAGATATTAAAGGCAGTTTGCATTTTGGGAAGTTCCCTGCTGATTAAAAATGGAAAGAGAAAGTAGGGTGTGCGCAGAGGTGGCAGAATAGAATGAATGAGAAAAGGAGTCAGGAAAACTTCATGACCCAGAAACACTACAAAGATCAATTTGACTTCTCAGGGTTTGGGTCCTACATGGCCTTGGACAGAAGGCTGGAGATGTCTGGAATGGACATTTGCTAAGGACTGAGTCATTTAATAACACAACACTTCTCAATTTCAACACTTTAAACAGCTTTGGATACTGATGCTGTCCTGTGTGGCAGTGTTCAGCACACCCTATGACTTGTAACTTAACCAGGGCTGGGGGAGCACAAGCAATGTGGAGAGAAAGCAAGCAACAAACAGAGGTCTAAAAACAGCTACACAAGTGACAGGTGTCACAGGTGAAGAAGGTTTGTTAGTGAGATAGGAAGCAGCACTATTAAGCTGTTGGTGGGGCAGATCCAGAAAAGGAGTGTTGCAGTCAGAGCTACTAGGGTGTAGCAAGGGCAGGAGGCGACAAGACCAAACAGGCAAACAGTTAAGATGGCTAGGACGGAATGTGGACAGAAATGAACAGGTCAAGCAGTTAAGAGCTGGAAGTTGGCTTGCTTTCTGTGCTCAAGGGTAGTAATAAATACAATCTGCAGTCTGAAAAGCAAATATCTTGGTCAGCCCCTTGTCAGGTATTCTCAGGAGGAAAAGGCTCACAAGGCTAGGCAAGAGCTCTGAAGCGTTAAGCTAAGTTGGAGAGGAAGACCAGTCTAAGAGGAGTGAGGAAAAGAAGAATACACACAAACCCCAACTAAGCCTAGACTACCACATGCCCAAGTGAATGACCATAAGTAACAAACAACAGAGCCTTTGTGAAGGGGCATTGTGGTGACAGGAGAGAGTCAGTCTCCTCACTATTTCAGAGTGTCATATGCTAAAACACTGATATTCTAAGATTCACTGAGGGAAGGGGTCAAGCCATAATCTAGAGCAGACAAGATTAAAACCATACAAAACTGGGTGCTGGCTCAAAGAATAAAGGGCGTAAGCACTGGGCTCTCTATCCCCCTATTTCATAAGTGAAGAAATTAGGGTTCATAGAAGGGCCTAGACAAGGCCACACAGTTGGAATGTTACCCTGCAGTTCTTTTTTTTAAAAAATATTTATTTATTTGTTTGGTATACAATATTCTGTCTGTCTGTATGTCTGCAGGCCAGAAGAGGGCACCAGACCCCATTACAGATGGTTGTGAGCCACCATGTGGTTGCCGGGAATTGAACTCAGGACCCCTGGAAGAGCCATCTCTCCCTGCAGTTCTACCTCCTGGCGGAGGGGAGATTTACATGGAAATGAGCACACCCCCATTCTACCTTTCTCTGCCTGCCTCATGGGGGTTGCTGAGTTACCCCCTGCAGGATGCTCTTGACTGGCATCATACATTCATCTTCTACTCCTTTTTTCCCTGGTTCCCTAATAAACTTTTGCTGTGGGCTGAGCCCTGTGCCCGTTACAGAAGAATGAAACTGTAGTAGAAACAGGCTGGCTCTTCTAAGTCCCTCCCAGTAAGGCTGCTGGCAGAGTTCACGGTGATGATGTGCAGAGAAAGCATGGGTCCTTAAGTTATATGGTGCTTCAAGACATGAGACCCAATGCCATTGTCTACTTACCTAACTGCTGGGCCAGGTGACACAGTGGTCTCAAAGTAGCTGCTAAAAGAAGAACTTCACCACCTTTGGAGTCAGACTGCTTGATGCTGCCCTGTTGAAATTCTAGTCCTCTGTTTCTGGTAATGCTCGAGTCTTGCCAATCCATGGGACAGTTGTAAAGGTTACAAGTGAGGGATGCAAAAAGGTTTAGATTGCACACTGATGTGGCATGACTTACCACTTGGAGCCAATTAGAAGTTTAACATGGCAAAAAACTGTACAGGACCTGGGCCCATTGCCCAAATCACTGGTTATCTCAGAACACATAATCAGTCCCCTCCGAGTGAGGTGAAAAACCTCTAATGTGAAGAAGTACAGGCCCAGAAAGCAAGTGGAGCTTGCATTTCATTGTTTTATTGATGTGTCTCTGTGTGTTTGGGTATGTATATATGTGCAGATGCCCACAGTGGCAAGAAGGCAGTGGATCCACTGGAGTCAGAGTTAATGTGATTGGGGGAATGCTGGGAACTGAACCCAGACCCTCTAAAAGAACAGTGAGCTCTTTTTAACCACTGAGTCATCTCTGCAGCTGGCACTGGAAATTTTCAGCAGATTGAGTCCTGCACAGAGTAGTTCATCCATTCCTATTTTGAACATAGCATTTATTTTTATTCATTCAAATGGAAAAGAAATGCAACATGTCAAGTCAAGGCATTACAAACCACAGCGCCAGACAAAGGAGTCAGTCTATGGCAGAGTCCAACATAGTCAACACAAAATTGCCACAGTGTGGGTGCTGCTTGCAGGGCTCAGAGCAGCGGGGTCCCTTTGGATGAAGGCCAGGCATCTCTGGGCGAGGCACTGATGATAGTCCACACATGCAGGCTGCTGCTTCAACCACGGCGACACTTGTAAAAAGTCCAGAGTCTGTATGTTACCATAGGCCCAGAAGGCATGGGGCAGTCCATGATGCTTGTGGTTTCCAATGTTTAACACTATACATCTTGAAGTTATTGCCAAAGACTTTACACTGTGTACTTGGGGAAAATAGTAAATACAAATGGATATTTTAAACAGACTCCTAAGCACAAACTTGACCAATATCAGACTGGAGTCTTACATGGAGAAAAATGTCACCTGTAATTCTGCAATAAACAGGTTTTCCCCTCCTTAAGCCAGCAAAGTGCTTGCCAGGGTCTTGGTGTGTTTCCTGGGATACAGAGCTTTGGACACGCTATAAGGATGTTCTGCCTCACCTGGCAGTGTCTACAAGTGAGCATGCTTTCCAGGCACAGAAATATATGGGTAGTTAAGCACCTCCACACCACTATGGTGTGGCCTGCCACTGGAAAGCTGCCATGTGAGCCAAGTGAGCTAGGAGGGTGTCAACACTCTGAATCCTTCTTAGATGTCTTGTGAAGGGTGGATGCTACCCAGTGGCACCAGGCTAGCCTAAGCATAAAACATTAATATTAGAGAAGGGACTGATGCATCTGGTAGCAGCACTTCTGTCCTTAGGCTAAGTAACAGTAGAGTACTTGTAGGATGTGGGCTTACCTGGCTCACATCCAAATCATCCTTCACAGATGGATGCCAGCACTACCTTGAGGGTCAGCTGGGGCATGATTATATCCAGGGGATAAGATTACTTAGATCCTGTGTCTTGTTACTGATTCACTAAAACAGAGTAAGAAGATATGCTCAGCCAGGAGGCCAGCCTGGTCTACAAGAGCTAGTTCCAGGACAGGAACCAAAAAGCTACGGAGAAACCTTGTCTCGAAAAAATCCAAAAAAAAGAAAAAAGAAAAGAAAAGCAACTTTCTGATTTACAGGAAGAACCTTAAAGGCAGCCTAACCACTTCTAACCACCTAACATTGTCCTTACTTAGATCTCATTTTCTTGACCACTCAACAAGGAATGAAAACTTTTCTGGCTCCCCATGGGTACAGCATAAAGAGTTAGGGGCAGAGGTTTTTCTGTTTTGTTTTGTTTTTTAATTTTGACAATTATCTTTTTCCCAAAATACAAAAACAAACAGATGGCATTAAGCTTATAACTGAAGACTAGGACATACTTGACAGGCATCTCTATCACTTACTAACAGTGCCAGATGACAAGAACCAACAGCCTGTCAGGCTAGAACACAGCACAGGACTTGGCTGCCAAATAGAAGGATATTCCTGGTATCAGCTATGAACAGAGTATAGACTCTTTACCAAAGGTAGAGCCAATCTCCATCTACTCCATGCACAAATCAATTTCCCTTCCACGAACCTAGAAAGTTCTTGAGAAAAATGCAAGGAAAGTTCCTTTTACTATCAGCCTTAGAGCTACACCACATCTCCAAGACATGACCAGGCAGCAAAATCAAAGGCAGTACAGCCCTACAAAGCAAAAGTTCTCAACCTGTGGGTCGAGATCACCTTGACAAACTATCTCCAAAATACCCTATTTACATTATGACTAATAAAATAGTAGCAAAATTAGTTATGAAGTAGCAATGAAAGTAATTTTCTGGTTGGGGGTCACCACAACATGAGGAACAGTATTAAAGGTTGAAACATTAGGAGGGTTGAGAACCACTGCTGTAGAGGCACACCACCTTGCAGAATTCCTGCAGATCACAAAATCTTACTGAGAACAAGCTATTGCTGCTGGAACTTTCTAGGTGAAAGCTGCCCTAAGGAAAGTACCTGGAGGAGAGAAGAGGGATTCCAAGGAGCACCCAAGTCTACAAGGCCTGACCTGAAGTGAGTCTGCATTCCATACAGCTTCATTGCCCCGTGATTTGGTTCAGAAGAAGTGAGGATCGGGGTGGTGGGGGGGGGGGGTTAGGAACGACATGAGACATGACGACAGGACTGGTGTCTACCAGTTTACCCTCACACACACAGGCCCCAAGCCAAAACTGGCCCAAATACAAAAAAGGGCAAGGCCAAAGAAACATTGTTAGTGATCTTTAGGCTCATAAGAAAGAAAAGGTCTCAGTGCTACCTTATCACAAGAGACCGTGGCAAGAAAACCTTCCAGTGCTCCAGCTGCATTTTCCACCCTAATCCCAAGAGCTCCTTGCCCCTTGATAGTCTAGTACACATGAAATGGAATTTGTAGTTTCAGGCATAATCTACCATAATCAGAATGACATTACTCAAGATGATGTGTCTGTAGCCACTTTACCCTCCTGAACTCATCTGTTGACTGCTCACTCCACAGACCACAGTCCACACCCTTCAGACTGTCACCTAGCATGTCCCAATCTAGCCCAAGTACCTCTGGGCAACCTAAAAGTTGTAGCTGTGACACAACCTCTCTACTGGACCATGCCACCCTCTAGCTCCAGCTTTACAGCTGCTGCCTCCTTGGGCATTCCCCACTCTGTCTTCCTCCTCGGAGAGAGCCTGAGCCCTGTTGTTGCACTCTTTGGACAGCAGTTTGCATCTCACTTCCTGCTGACAGAATCTGTGCCTCACTTATCCTCAGTACTTGCCCAGGAGAGCTCAGGAAGCTGCCGCAGGACAAATGTAAAGGGTAAATAATCTCTACCGACTAAAGCCAGGGCTGACTTCTAGCCTGGTATATAACTAATATGTGATTGGACATAGCCGCATTTACCAATGCCCAGATTTTCATTTTAACAAATGGGAAGGTGACATCTTTGTGGCCCTGGAGTTCTCATTACTCAAAGACTGATAGGCTTGGTGTCACAGATACCTTCCAAAGGTTTGACCTAAGGCCTTCAAACAGCAGCTACCTTCAGTTCTAGTCCCCACCAGAGCTACAGAAACTCAATGATGCTGAAGCCCATCCTGACATCACTACTACTTGCAAGACCCTAGTTGTGAATCAATCCTCCCCAAAAAATTCCAGCACTGAAAAGGATACACCTCATTGTCATTCCCACATGGCTTTCTGTCCATGACACAAGAGACTAACATAGATGAAACCCAGAGCAAACCCTCCAGTAACCACATAGCTTTATCCCTCCTTAAGAACTTCTGTAAAGGGGCTGGAGAGATGGCTCAGTGGTTAAGAGCATTGCCTGCTTCCAAAGGTCCTGAGTTCAATTCCCAGCAACCACATGGTGGCTCACAACCATCTGTAATGAGGTCTGGTGCCCTCTTCTGGCCTACAGACAGACAGAATATTGTATACATAATAAATAAATATTTAGAAAAAAAAAGAACCTCTGTAAAGAAGATGCACCTTCCCACTAGTTAACAGCTATACTCTATAGACACTGAATCCCAAAAAGCACTAATCCTTTCACAGGTTAAAATTTTTTTAATTACAAAAAAATTCTAAATGAAATCAAGACAGACCCCAGTAAAAGGGACTATCCAGTATCTATCATAATTGTGTTTAGCAAGCACTGTAAAGACAAAAGCGTAAGGATGACAACTGACATGCTTCAAATCTGTCTGCCTGATGTCAAGATCATTGTGCCTAGAGCCCCAATGAAGCCCAGTGGAGACTGCCCTTGCTCCATCCACCTCAGTGGATCTGAACTCTAATCAGTACCTTTCTGCTCAGAGGCAGCACTACTCCCTGATGGGACTGCTTATACAGATCAGCTGCAGGCCCAGTTCAGTGCAACAGAGAAGCCAGCACCCCAGCTCTGCTAGCTCTAGCTATTCCCTTCATCCTTATCTGGGCAAGTCAATAGCCTCTTCCTCCCTCTTCTCATCAACCATGATTATAGGTTCTTGGGTTTCTAGATGGCCTTCCACAATTTTCTCACCATACTGGAGAATGGTAATCACAAAGGGCACAGCACCCAGGACTCTTTTTGCAAAGTAGCTCTAAAAATATACCTCCAATATACGCTCTCATCTGAGGAACCATCCAGCCCTTATGCCAAGGCATTCACAAAGCCTAGCAGACTGCACACAGGCATCCCTTGCCAAGGTACTCTCCAGACTCACCTCACTGCTCGGTACTGTCCCAATCAGAGGCCTGGGTCACTTGGACCAGGGCTGCTACAACTGCCCTTCCGAGGCTGTTAGTCAACTCACAGTTGGTCTATGAAACTGAAAATGGGCCTGCTAGACATCAGCACTGAAACTAGGAACAGCATCCCTATGAGGTGGTGCAACAGAGCTGTTAGCTGTGGTGATCCCACTACAGAAGACAAATTTGACTCTGTTCAAACTTCCTGACGTTCTCCTCCCTTCCTTTGCCTTCTACCTGCCAGTGGTCTCTTTTCCTTCCTTAGCTCTCCTAAGATTGTCATGTAATGACCCCAGCCAAAGTAGAGGGTTATAGTAAACATTTCCCCAAATCCAGCTCCAGAAAGAGCTATTCCCAGCGATGTCACCCAGTCCTGTCAGAAGTGGTTGAAGTTGACATCTCTGGCACAATTTCTTCTATACTATCTAAACAAGTATCTGGTTTGTTTTGTTTTGAACAGGAGGTTCTCATTACATAAGCCTAGGCTGGCCACGAACTCAGTCTTTCCTCATGCACCACCATAGCTCATAGATTGAACATTGTCACCATACCACAGTGCTCAATTCTTCCTGTGTTCTTTTGAATCAGCTTCACATTGTACTGCCCACCTGGCTGCTCAAAGCTATCTTTACCTCTCTGGAACCACATATATGTGAATAAAATCCTTTAAAATAACTGGTAAGAGTATCTATGCTTGCCCAAGGCCACCCTTTCACTACCTTTGACATACTGGTCCTTTGATCTTATTTCCACACCCCCACACCTCCCAGATCACATTTCTAAAAGCCTGGGATCTCTCCAAGCAGCATCCACTAAATTTGCATTTCACTACATACAGTTTTGGGAACATCACAAGACTATTAATATTTCAAAGTGCAGCTAGCAAAAACCAGGCTTCCTGGCTTAGAGCTGAATTCACAATCCATTTCCAAAGAAACCAGGGAGAACATCAGCTAGGGCAGGAAAGGTAACAGGAGAGATGGATTGGTTTTGTTCTATTTTGTAAGGCACACACAGTATTGTCCCAAAGTCTAGAAGAAAGGGAAGTAGAATGTACCAGAGACAGAGGAAAGGATACTGCTGTCATAAGAGCTTTGGAAAGCAGGGTGGTAATGAGTGCACAGAGCCAGTTGATCATAGCATGGTCAAGAGCACATGGGCTCTGCCGCCAAGCACTATGTAATTGAGAAAGTCACTTTACCTAAAACCTTTTCCAACTAATAGCAAACTTCTAGGTCCTTCAGTTGCAGGATTCAAAACCAGTCCCGTAGGAGAGTTTCTGTTAACCCTCAGAACAGTACAAGAAATGTCATTTCCTCTGTGTGGCTCAATGCTCACTCATTAGAAGCTACAGCAATTTTACCACAGACAAGCAGAGTGGTTTATATAGATCTCTGGGCTTTTGGTCCTTGTAGAACAATAATCCTTGCACCACCACTCCTTCTCTAGGACTCGGCACTAGAAATGGGCTGCAGAATGTAAGAGGGTGCTCTCTGTCCCACCAAGACCAGGGCCTCACCTTCCTTCACATACTTTGATGCTCTACAACTTGGTTAGATTAAGATTCTGCCAATTCTTTTCCAAGAATGAAACAGAGCATGCTTCCCTTGTCAGTTGTCAAAAATGACAAGAACATAGAAGAAGACAGAATTCTATACTCCCTCTCCACATCTCATCTCACTGCTGCTAAGCAAATAGCAATGAATTTGAGAGGATATACAGAGTGAGACCCCATAGTTCTCAAGCCAGGTTCATTGAACCCTGGCCTGAGGTGGAGGGAAGACTCACATTCTAAACTGGCAAGTGCCTAGCACTCAGCATAGGTCTTTTGATATATCACTGTCCCTCCTACACCTAAGCACATCTACCTTCTACACCAAACCTCTTCCTTCTACCCAGTGAGCCAAAACCTCATCCAATTCCATCACCTTTCTCAGGCAAAGAAATATGTTCCAGAAACAAGAGCTAATGAAAACAGGTACCTCAGTCTCTTGATATTTTATCCAAACAAACAAACAAAAAAAACAAAACAAGCTTCCTCTGTTGGCATAGCCCACTGTGTTCTTTCTCTTCATTCCATGTTAGATATCCTTTTCTCATCAGTCACCCCAGCCCACAAATAAATAAATAAATAAATAAATAAATAAACACACACACACACACACACACCGCAGAAATTCCTGTTTTTCAGGATATACAGCCTGCTCAGGAATATGCTTAAGACAGGAGGCCTAGAATCCAGCCAGTCTTCATCTTTGCCTTATAATTTGAAGCCTATTGAGCAGAAACCAGCATTGGCACCAAATGGAACTCACTCCTGTCCCTAGCACCTAATCCTAAATATCAGATTCATGTCTAGGTCAGAAATAATAGCACCTGCAAGAAGGCTGCCTGAGAATTAATAATGCCCCAGTGCCACATACACCCAACAGTATTTCTTCCTCATTCTCTTTCTTTTTTTTAAATTTATTTATTGTGTACATCATAGTCTGCCTACATGCATGCCTGCAGGCCAGAAGAGGGCACTAGATCTTATTACAGATGGTTGTGAGCCACCATGTGGCTGCTGGGAATTAAACTCAGGACCTTTAGACAAGTGTTTGTAACCACTGAGCCATCTCTCCAGCCCTCCTCATTCTCTTTCTGGCTTCTTAAATCTACTACTTATGCCTCCAAAATACTTCCTTCTGTCAATTTTTTTGTGGAATTTTATGTAGTTGTCACATGAACACTGTAGACGACAACATGTTTATGTCAAAATGTTGGGCAAGCCTAAGTCCTAAGCAAAGACCTTCCATTAACTGAATTACTTGGGACGGTTGGTTGTATGAAGAGAACAAGGAAGGAGAAGTTCTAACAAAGAGGGACAGCAATGTCCTAAGTGCAACTGTGTTGATCTCATGTGCTGCTGCTAGTGCTGGTCAGACAGCAACAGAGACAGACAACTGTGGATCATTCCTCTCCAGTGAGGAAGTTGTTAAGTCCCACCTATGGCCACTTGGGCATTGCAACGACAGCAATCTTTATACCATCCGCTTGCGAGGTAACACAGCCACTAGCACAAATGGTAAAGTTCTAGGTAAAAGACCATGATCGTCCTGTAATAACTGGTCAAGGTTGTTTTTTGTTGTCATTCTGTTTTCAATTTGTTTGTTTGGTAGTGGTGGTGGTGGTGATGGTGGGTGTGTGAAGAGCCTTTCTTCAATGCTGGCCAAATGTGGCCAAGAACCTAACCATAGTCTTAGCTAAGTAGGAACACAGTAACTTTTACCAAGTAATACAAAGGCTAATTTACTGGCTTCCTTAAACATAATCCTTGTCCACACTGTTTGGGGTTATTTGTTTGTTTGTTTGTTTGTTTGGTTGGTTGGTTGGTTGGTTGGTTGGGGTTTTGTTCCCCTGAAATTCAGCACCACCTCAGAATTCAATTTGTGTTTCCACTTAACTTACCTCCTACTAACTGCCTGGGACACAACCTGCCCACCCTTCTTCTGAGGCTCCTTAGGTCTTTGCAAGCATGTGCGAGCCAGCAGTTACATGGTAGTGAATCTGTATTCAGTTCAGAAGCAGCAACTTCACCATCACTCCATTTTCCTTAAATTCAACAGAAACTTCCCAATTGTGTTCAAATAGGTAGACAACCAGATAAAGATAAAAAAAAAAATACTAATGCCCTAAGAGCCTCAGACAGAAGGGAGGGAAGCTTCATGTGGTGGTACGTGCAGATGCTTCCCACTTATGTACCAGGAGACAAGGGACAGGGGACAGGGACTCCTCACAAAAGAATCTGAATCAACAGCATCCTAGGTGCTTCCTGGGTCCTCCTTTTCTTTCCATAGTTTATAATAACTTGTTCTCTAAAACCAAACACCACAAGCCTTCAAGACTAGATGCTGGCCATTGTAGGGTTAAAAACTGAAGTGTGGTAGAAAACTTGAATCAGCAGATAAATGGTCTAAGTTCAGTTCTTGAGAAACCCTAAGCACCCATAAATCCCAAAGGTATTTACAAACCCTGAGCTGCAAGTTGGCTGGTGCAGCAGAAATATGAGCAATTCTGTACTGCCAAGTCTGGCCTCAGTCTGGGGGCACCCCAAACCTATGAGCACAAAGGAGTAAAAGCCCAGCTCACCCCTAAGCAGTTCATGCACCTGCTACTTAACCAGCATAGCCTCACATCCATTCTTCTGCCTCAACCAAAACAGTACTTCTTGTGTACCAGGTGTTATATTTATGCTGGCCTGCCCTGTCAGCTGGGTACCTGTCCCTTTAAGGAACAAGCTCCATCTCCCCTTCCCAGGAAGGCAAGCTGATCGCCTGCATCCTCTCTTCCTTTCCCTGTTCTTCTGAAGAGGCAGCCTCTGCCTTCTCTTCCTTCCTCTTTTCTCTTTCCTCTTTTTCTTTATCTCCCTTCCTCCCTCCCTCTCTTCTCCTCTCTCCATAACCCTTACACTTCATACCCTCACAATACCTACTAAGTAAACTCTATACCCAAGCACTTTCTGCATGGTGCTATCTGTCTGTCTACCACCCACCACAGCCTCTTCCACTCACAGTGGGACCTGCCAGGGTCACCCGCACCAACACCAGGTACCATTAAAAGCTTTGAATATATGAACTCATCAGATTCCCAAACTCCATAGGAATGGGCTGGAATGAGAGAAATGCTTTGGCCTAGATTCCCACATGGTTTCTATCCCTATCTCTATCTGTACTGTAAAGCTTATATAATCCAATCCACATTATAGTTCTATTTTTAAAAACTTCCAAAGATCATTGCTTCAAACATTAATGGAAGCTGTTAGTTCCTAATTGAAATGATGGTGACATGGGAAAAGGTATCTATTCGTGCAACTAATCCAACACAAATTCTTTGCTTCTATAAAACACCATTAGGAGAAGGAACTGAGGCTTAAACAGGCTGCACTGTGGGCTGGTAAGTGCCACAGAGACACACACACCCATGCTGAAACTCATTTTAACTGCAGTTGTCACTGACACCCCACCCATCTCCCTCCCAAGCCTCCTGGAAACACTAAGGAACCCATAGTTACTGGCTGCATGGCATCAGATGTTGCAGAGATCAAGCCTGAATGCCATGGTACCTTCTGGTTCTGGTTGAGTTGAGGTGACACTGGCATTAAAAGAATGGACAGAGAGGCTGCTTTTCAGATGTCACTCTGCTCACAATGCCCCTGGTTTACAAGCTTGGGGAGAAAACATCTCTAGCTCATTTCTGTTAGTACTGACTATTCTCCTGCACTCTAATCATTAGTAAGTAAGTAAATAAGTAAATAAGTAAATAAATAAATAAATAAATAAATAAATAAGAATCAGGAATGTTACAGCAAGTGATTTATTATAATGGTAGTCAGAGTTTACATTTCCCACTGTATCCTTTGCAGATTACAGAGCCTGCTGCCAAGCAGGGCTGCAATGTGTGCTGGGCGCCTATCTCACTTTTTGACCACACATGTGGACAGAGCAGAGCAGCATAACAAGAGCAGATTTCAGGCCCTCAGAAGTGCCAGGGAAATATGCTACATTAGAGGTGATCCTCAAGTAACATAAATTTTCTGGTGTTAGAAAGCCTACAATGTTCAGTATTTTATAATTAAACTAGTAAATAAATTAATAACTCTTTTCACTGTTCTCCCAAAGTTGGGTATTTATTTAAAACAAGGCCAATTCCACCAAAACAAGGCCAATTCCACCAGCAAGGAAATGTTCAGATTTCAGATGCTCCCACTGACCAGAACCTCTTTCCCTGGTCCCACAAAGGACCTGGCATCAACAGGCACAGGACTACACTGCTCTGCTCTGCCTTGTACAGCCTTTAACAGAAGCCAATCTCAGAAACTACAGGTTCTATATGGGAACAAAGTTTTCCCAGCAACCTTGATGCTAGAAATGAACAGAAACTGCTATAGAAATGTAAAACATAAAATTTATTTTTATATATCTATCTATATAAATACAGCTTTAACACAAAACATCTAACATAATGAAGTGTATTTATGGGGTATACTAAATGAAGCAAATCCTTATTAAAGTATCTGGCCTAACCCTCATATTCTTTAAATGAACTTTGTTGATGACTGACTGCAGTGAGAAATAATACTCTAGGTACCCTACTTGGAAAACATAGATTCCTTAAGTCAATTTGTTTTCTGTGGACTCTGTATCACTATTTCTGAGTCTTGCTCAAGTTGATTCTGCAAATAACTTAACACAGCCAATTACACATATTTCCCACAGTTAATATTAGTTTTGTCTTTTTTTATTGCTTTTTTTTTTTTAATGGCTTCTTGCTGTTGCTGTAATGGGGCATGCAACACAGGTCAGAGAAGGTTTTCTTCTTGAGATTGGCACTTATACCCTCAGCCTGTGTAGCACTTGCACACATAAATCCTATGGTACTGTTACCAATGTTACTGTTTCTGATATTCCAGCTCCTAGAGAGTGCCCTGTCATTTGAATTCTTTGTTAAGTGTTCCTACCACTGAATTATTATATTCAAACAAGTGCTTCTATGTATAATTTACATATACATTATATTCTAAGTTTCTACTCACATACACTTGACTCAGTGAATGTGAAATGTTTCTCCTGAATAAAAAGCATTTACAAGAGTATTAAAACAAATGCTGAAAATTACTATTTTACATTTAGGCCATAAAAAGTTAAAGTTAATGCAGTGACATAAGACCTAAGAGATCAAATACATCATATGATTGTCATATATGCAGGTTGTGTTAATTGGTTATTTTTTCTTTAATCAGAAAATAAAAGAGCTTACCTTTGTGTACTGAGATCACAGCTTACAGTCACTATAGCTCAGCCTATCTTATACAAGTGATATGGCTACGGAGGTCCGAGGAGAACGAGAATAAAGTGAGATAAACGTGCTGAAAACTGCTTAAAAGTATTAACCTGAAATACACAGAGGGTCCAACACCAGTTTTAAAAATACATCAACGAGGTATTCCCAGCTCTTCAATTAATTATGGTGACTGATTCATGATTTTCAAACATTTACCCAATTTAAAAAAAAAAAAGGCTAATCCAAGCATGACCAGTATTCTATTCCCAAGGTTAACAATTTCAGATATTACAAAAAAAAAAAAAAAATCAGGACTTATTTAAACCCATCCCCTTACTTCACCATACTATGCACCAAACCTCATCAGCATGAGGTATGTCAGATATCTATGGAACCTCTATGGGTATTAAGAGGTGGGGCACTCCTGAAGCCTTAAGGGACACAGGTTGCCAGCCACACCTCTGGTGAAGCGCTGGCCCCCACCAACAGATATGGCTTAGGGAGGACATCTGTCTCAAATAAATTCTAATACTGCTAGCTGGACAGTCAAAACTGTAAGTGCTCAAGTTATGTGCTAAAAATGACTAAAACGTGTCAGAGGATAGCGTAGCTCACACAGAGATTCTAAGTTCTACATTAATCTGTAAATTCCCTGACAAGAGCTACACTGAAAAGTTTACATCTAAATATTGCTATGTTTCCAAAAGGAGCTTTAAAACAGCTATCGTGGCTTTGGACAAAGTATTGCTCTTCTTTAAAATTCCCAGTCATTGTTTTCAAAAAGGGTTAAAGTGGTGGGTCTGAAAGCTGGGAAGCCTCAGGGCTCACAATGCTCTTAAGAAAAAGAAACTGCCATTCAAGCCAGACAACCTGATGGTTCTAGAAGTCAGAGAAGAAATCTTGAGGGCCCAAGTGAATAATAAATGGTGCGACGCTCAGAGGCTGGCAATAGGGGCTGTCAATGAAAAAACCACCTACAGTGGAGAAAAGAGCAGAGAAGCAGAGCTGTATGTTAATTTCACACAACTGGACGAAGCTATGAGCTTCATTTATATTTCTCTGCTCTTTCAGCTGTAAGTGGAATTTTCATTACAAAATGAAGGGTGGGAAGAGCAAAAGGTGGGAGGACACTTAATTCATTACAGATTTAAACAGTTGAACTTGCATGGTTACCACTTCTAACATAAGGTTGACAGCTCCATTGTTTTAAGTAAAGCAGAGAAATGTAAAAGTTTGCAGCAACTCGGCAGGTTTACAACATGGTTAGTAACTTCCAACAAACAACAAATTAAGAAGGGGGAAGACTTGGTAGAAACCATTTGAAATGACGGCCATCATGTTGGAGAACAGCACAGCTCCCTCTTCCATCAGAGAGGGGGTGAGTTATGAAGCAGAGTCAGAGACTGCAAAAATATTTTCTTAAGAGAAATCTCCAGGGAGATTCCAGTCTAGAGTCCAAATTTGATGATCAATTTCAAATAATACAACTGCAACTGCCAATTAATAGTGTTTCAAAAAACAGAGGACCACTGTAAATATTTAATTAATAAGAACTGGACATTAGCAGCCATGCTTCTTCTTCTCAGTGATGGCTCTGTTTCATCCATAGGTCAGCAAAACAAATCAATGAACATGAAAACTCCCAGCTGAAAGGGGCCCTGCTCGATTACATCTTGCCACTAACACACATGATGAGAATGACAAGTTAAAGCTATTTCCAGCCAAGTGACAAGGTTTTATTAAAGTATCACCCACCACTAGCAGAAACAAAGGGTCAAGGAAAAAACAGATGATTGTGCAGTAGACGTCTGAGCAGTGGTGCCGCACTTGTGCCTTCCTGCTCATCTCGCCCTTGCTTCCAAAGTTAGTAAAGACCACTTAAAGTAATAGGCACCTCTTGGTTTTGAAAAGGAATTTAGCAGAAAAGTAGTTATTTCCTACTGAGTCATCTTTAAGCCACAGTGGCTTGTAAATGTCTGCAGAGGACGACACTGTCACTTGAATGGGGGTGAATACCTTAATGAAACCATTACCTTCTAGTAACATCATCAGCTTTCCAAACAAGGTGAGAATGCAAGTGAAGACTTGGGTCTGCACCCTTCACAGAACAGCACAATGTTACTGACTCAGTTTCCACCAGTGTAACCAGGTGTCTTAAAAGTAAATGCTGACCCATGGCTGAAACCTGTCACTTTTCACAGCAGCACTCAACAAGAACTGGGACAATCGGAGAGCGAGTTTTTTATGGGGATCCTGTTGCTGCTTTAGATTCTGATATCATTGAAGAGGAAAGGAGACCCTTCAAGGAATCCCAGAAAAACTGCTAATCGTCTATCTTCATGAAAAAGCCAAGGAGTGAAGAGTCTTACAGAGTGAAGAAGGCCACAAGAACAAAAGAGGGTGATTGATTAATTTATTCTTTTAACTTGGAAATTCGTAAACTAAGATATTCACAATCCTCCTTCCCCATCTTTGAGTGGTGCCATCATCTGAATAAAGCAGTGCTGAGATAACAGAATGTGACCTTATCACGGGGATGCTCTGTACACTGGAGTACAAGAGCTTACAGAGTAGAGTAGACTGAGTCGGACTAACAATCATCTCGGCTGTGTTTTAGCAGCTTGCTTACAAATAATGAATGGGTTTCTAGGGTTATTATTAGTTTGCAATTCCTTGAAATTTTATACCAAAACATATCAAAAATAATAAGCTAAAACAATATTCAAACCCATATTTTATTGGTTTTAATTACACACTTCATTATTTACAAAGTTAAGTTTTAAATGAAAAGTTTCTACTGTATTTGAAAAAAAAAATTAACTACAGCCCAAATTAAAGTGCCCTGGGGCAAGCACATTAGTCAGCTATGAATCAGTGGCTGCATCAGGAACCAGGCAGTACTCTTGTGTTACAACAAAGCAGTTTATTTGTGATCAGTGTTGAGACTCTATACATCCTTCACAAATTTAACTTTACATAATCTGATACTCTGAGAACGTCAACTTTGAGCTGCTAGACTTCCCTACAACGAAGGGGCTGGTATAAATTATTTCCAGGAATGAGGTACCGTTTCACAGAACTGGTTTCTTTTTGTTTGTTTTCAAGTTTTAGAGAACTAAATTTGCATTTGTTAAAATCAAAAAGTAGGAAAGATGTTCTTTACAAATAATTTGATCAAGTATGTGTTCAAAGAAAGCAGGATAAAAAGGCTTTTTCTCTAACATTCTGCATTGTACTGTACTGTTGTTCAATAGGAATGAGCTTCTGTCATTTGCTAAAAGAATGAGTAGTGGGGAACAGGATATGTTGGGAATTTCATAACGGGTAACAGAACCATTCTCTTGGGCAAACCTACAGAGAAAAGAAACGGAAAGGACTCTAATAAAAATTTCAGGTTAAAAAATTCTTACAATAATTATCATTAACCATTTCCAGATTAGTCAGTCCATTTTATATATACCATTTTGGAAGAGGCCCACAAATACCTCACAAATCAATTGCTCTTCTATTTTGATACATCATGTTTTCTGCTCAAAAGTAAAATGCCTATATCACAGAATGATACTCAGAAATGACATCTGAGTGAGTAGGCATGAATTGTAAAGGAGATGGTACATGACATATTAAAGAGAAATATGTCAAGATTTAAGACTTTCTGTGCAGGCATCAACTCCCAGGAAAGAAAGCTCCAACCAGAGCCACCAACCAGGTGTTTGTCTTCTCATGGATGACCACTAATGCTGACATGGCAAATCTGGAAAGATTAATATTGTTTTCTTAATTTCTAATTAATACGTTCTTGTGGCCTCACAAACTCCTGCACACTAAAGAAGGATTTGAAATCTGCCCGTCTTTATGCTGATGTTTAACCTAGGAGAAATCACAAAGCAGCAACAGCAGGAATTCAAGAGCACCAGATGATCAGAGGGAGATAACCCCACATGCAACAGCTTTACAAAGGCCAAAAGACATATTTACCTTACAGCCAAAATAAAGCATTGTTTTAGTAGATTTGCATCACAGTAACATTTAAAAACCAAATCCTTTATGTGAAAAATGGGGCATCAAATTACACCAGCTTTGGAAGTCAGTTATATGGCACATGAAAGAGAGGAGCCTACCAAGGCTCAGAGGTCACAGGGTGAAAGAATGTTAAGGACAGACCAGGAAAAATTAAAAAGACTGAGGAAAAACATGGATGTAACTGAAGAGGCTAAAAACCAAATTTTTAAAAGAAAGAGTCTCTAGCAACACTTTACCATAATAAATTCTTATGATTATGTGATTGACACACAGCTGAGAGTAGAAGCTCTGGTGCTCACAAAACGTATAGCAGAGCAAATAAGTCAATTGTGCTGTGTCTAGGTTAACAACTGACCCCATTCTAGAAGGATGAGGTATTCTGGACATTCAAAAACTAGAGAAACGGGCAAATGCCAATGGCCAAACTGAAAAGACTCCAGCAGTCTGAATTCAGAAAGAACTGTAAGTAAAAACATATTCTTGGACTAGTCCCCAACCTCCATATTTAGGATTACTCTAGTTCAGAATATGGGGAAGACTGATCCACAAGAGTGTGCCAGAGAAAACAACTAGACATAGTACCTAAGTCTGTACTTTGCCCAAACAAAACCTTATACATGTATTTGACCCTTGCCAAACTATTCAAACTCAACACTTCAGAAAAGCAATGTCTAAGAACCTGTAATTGTCATCAAAATAAAAACGGTAAAGTTGATGTGTGAAGAGAAAAGGCACAAGGTGAAGGTCTGAGCTCATGTAGAGGATTCATGCCACAAATAGCGATGCATAGAGGACCTTTGCCTTCCATGTGCATGCATGCCTGGTTTGGGGCTGTGTGGACACACACACACACACACACACACACACACACATGCACGCACGTGTACACACACACTCTCTCTTTTGCTCTATTTGTCAAGCATCTTGTAGATGGTGGCTGATTCTATAACATTCAACATCTGAGTTACAAAAGATGTCTAACAGCATATCACTGACTCCAAACCTACTGCCTCCATTGCCACATAAACCTCATTCAAAAGTTATCCAAAGGGCCATTAGTGTTCATTCACATATCTGCTGCTACTTTTTATTTTGGAAAGGAAAGAAGCGGCAAACCTAGGATTTCTACCAACAGCTACTGACTTCTGAAGAAAGGTAACATTGACAATAAACCCCATCACCTCTGTGGGACCAATGACATCTATCCATTCCCAAAGGAAAATGTAAAGCAAAGACTAATGGGTACAAATTTAAAGTGATGGCTTTCTTTTCTTGACTCAAACCACCCACATTCATAAAATACACATACAGAAACTAACAATGTGGCCATGTAACTGGTAGGTGGCCATGCTAAAAACTGGGTGTGGCCCTTCAGTAGCCTTTGAATGGAGTATAGGTTTGCTGTAAGAAGAATTACTTCAAATATTTAATTTCAATATGGTCAGAAACAGGCAATAAGAACAAGCAGTTCTCCAATCAGGCAAAGCAGAGAGAAGAGCAACTTCAACCAAACCAAGAACCACAAGGTTGTGGCATTTGAGGGAATTTAAGTTGAATCACTAGAATGGTTAGATCTGAGATCCTCCAACTTGTTTCTGGAAACCCTGGTTACAAACTATGCTCTGGGTTGCTGTGAGAGATGGGCTAAGAAGAAGAATCAGTAAGAAGGTATACATACCATATGCAGGAGCAGCTGTGCTGTAACCATATGGTGTTCCATAACCTGGTCAAACAAGAAGAGAGCAATCAGTTCAGGCCTACTTGGAATACTCCAGACTTTGGAAGGCCAAGAGCAGCCCCACAGTTCAGTCACTTCCTAGTCCTGCTTAAGTGTAGAAGTCTCACACTATGACCTATAGAGAATTCCTTAACTTACCCTAACATCCTCCTCCTCTCTTGTTCTGTTCAATGGTGTTCTCTCTCGCACTTGCTCCATCTGTACTTCTATACTGTACTGTAATTTATCTACTTGTCTGTATGCTCCACTAAACATACTTAGCTTTCTAAACTAAACTTAGCAGAACAAACAGCTTTTGTTAGCCAAAATAATACTTAGAATCACCTCAATCACCAACTTCTCAAAGATGGAACAGGGAAACTTTCCATGGCTCCTTTCTGAAAAGAGTGACAGAGCTGCAGCCTCAAATGCCACTAAAGAGCATGTCTGGGTCAGGTCATGAGCCCAGTGACAAGGTCCACAACTTAACAGTATCTGAATGCCAGACCCCAGCTCAAAGTCTCCCTGTAAAAGTTGGTAACTTGATATATTAGTGTCTCTTGCCTATAAAAGAAAACCTGATTGTAATTATTACTAAGAAAACAACTGTTTTTGAATGAGTTAATCCAGACACTAACTGCTCACACATCCTTAAACAAAGAGCACAAAATTTGCCATATTCCCATCTTTTAAACTGAAAAATCCAAGCTTCTTTATAGTGTTTCTGTAAGGTTTAGATATACCATGTTCATAAAAACTGCAATTTCTCATCTTTCAGGAAAAAGCATTTAAATATGAAATGGTCTGGCCAAGTCCTGGGGATCACATTTTAACTGGTCTCTAACTACAATGAAGGCCCATCATGGTCATGCACACTAGTAATTCCAGTACCACAGATGCTGAGGTAGATGTAGGCTTTATAGAGTAAGGTTCCAGGCCATCCTAAACTATGAATCAAGATCCTGCCTCTAAGTAATACATAGAAACAAACCAGGCTGGACATGATGGTCCATACCTTTAATCTCAGAGTTGAGAGGCAGAGACAGGTGTATCTCTGTACATTCAAGCTCTACAACTTAGCAAGTTCCAGGCCAGCCAGGGCTATAGTGAGACCCTGTCTGAAGATACAACATGACATGAATGCTATATAAAACCTATTCAAATTAAACATTTCATACCAAATAATATCACAACTGTTCTAGAACTACTTGTGCTGCTCAAAATCCTTGAAACTGGCATCAAGTATCAAATCCCCAGGACTAATGTCTCCTCCAATGTCCAACCCATTTCATAAATGTATTCCAAGGAATAAGAGCTAATTCTTGAACCTACAATATCAAAAGTTTTACTGAACGAGTTGAAACTGGTAACTAGTTAAGTTGTGGCCAGTGATTAGGCCACTAGGATTTTAACCCTGACCTTTAACTAAGCAAAGAGGCTGAGTTCCATGAAGACTCTGAGCATCCATGCTACAAACAACAGCTCCACGGGCAGGGAAGTTAAAATACATGTAAGAATGTTCACCTATGCCATCCCTGGACATAAGACACTCCACCAATGACAGAACTCATCAAGATCCATATGAACCTTAATTCTTTATTGTCCTTAATTCTTTATTCATTTGCTTTTTTTTTTTTTTAAAAGTTTCAGGAAACAAGCCTTGTACAGAGGTCAAAGCAATGACTTAAGACAGAAGATCTGGCAACCAGGAAACATACACAATCCTGCTCAGCATCACAGGATAAATGCAACTGCATACCCCTTGGTCAAGAATCAAATGACATGAGATCTTGCAACAAGAGAAGTTGCCAAACTGAGTCCCAAAGGAACATGTCATCAAAAAACAAACTCATCTCAATAAATACCCAGTACTGAAAAAGGTCAAAGCTATTAATTTTCAATAAAGAATGTAAGGCATAAGAACGAAATTTTTTTTCCCCTGAGACAGTGTTTCTCTGTGTAGCTTTGGTCCCTGTCCTAGAACTAACTCTTGTAGACCAGGTTGGCCTCACCTGCCTCTGCCTCCTAAGTGCAGGAATTAAAGGTGTGTACCATCACTGCCCAGCTCAATAGAAAGGTATCTTCATGTTGAACACAAACTGAAAATTACAGGCCCATTTCCTGTCACACTTCTTCATCCCATAAAATGACCCTCCTAGTTCATCGAGCTAAAACTTTGGCATTGCTCACTTAAAAGAAAAAATAGTAGCTACTAGCTATAAACAAAGGACACTGAGCCTTTGTTAGTTCATGATCCTAGCTAGAGAAGCTAAGTAATAAGGTGAACCCAAAGAAAAATATATAGATCTACCTGGATATTGGAAAGGGACAGGACTGACTGGCAGGGTAGGGAGCATGGGGGTGGGGAAAGAAGGGAAGTAGGAGGAGAAGAGGAGTGGAGAGGGGGAGGGGAAAGCAGAGGAGAACTTGAATGAATGGGATGGTAGAGATGGAGGAAGGACAGAGAGCAAGGAGAGAGATATCTAAACTGAGGGAGTCATTGTAGGGTTAGCAGAAACCTAGAGAAATTCCCAGGTATCCACAAGGATGACCCCACCTAAAACCCTGGGCAATAGAAGAGATGGGGCCCGATCTTGACTTGTCCTATAGTTAGACTGATAATTATCTTAAATATCACCATAGAGCCTTCGTCCAGCAGCCGAGGCCCACATGGGAGCACTGGACTGACCTTCCAGGGTCCAGCTAAGGAGTGGAAAAAAATGAGAATGTGGGTGGGGAGGTCGGGACCATGATGGGTTTGTCCACTAAAATAGCTTGCCTGAGCTGATGGGAGCTCACCAACTCCGGAAGGAATGGGCATGGGACCAAGCTGGTTCCTCTGTGTATGGTTGACGGTTGCGTGGCGGGGTGGACTGGAGGGCCACTGGCAGTGGGGCCGGGATTTGTCCCTGCTGCATGTACTGGCTTTTTGGGATCCTGTTCTCTTTGGATGTATGCGTTGCTAGGCCTGGATGTAGTGGCGAGGGCCTTGGACCTTCTGCAGGGCAGTGCGCCTTGCCCTCTCTGGGGGTTAGATGGGAGTGGGGTGGGAGGGTGTTTGGAGTAGAGGGAGGAGGGAGTGGAAACTTGGATTGGTATTTTTTAGAAATCTAATTTTAAAAAGGGGATTAAAAAAAACTTTGGCTGTACTCTTGAAACGTTACTCTTCAGTCTAAATATTCCACCTATGAACAATGTTGCTTCTAGTAATCTGTTCTCATCTTGTCATCCGTCTATCCTTGCACCATTTACCAGTTTCCACAGTCTACTGTACAAGTAACACATGTACAACAGTCTTTTAAGGTGTGCCATTATGTCCATGTCTGTCCTTGCATATATTCTTTACCCTATAGAAGGAGTAATATTTCCAAATAACATACAATTTTGCCAATCTCTCCTTAGAACCCTTATGACTTTCTACTGTACTTAAGATCCTAAAACAAAATCCAAGCCATGGACTCCAGGACTGGATAACTCATCAACTTTAGCTCACACTCCCCCCCCCAACCCCAAGCTCTTCCCAAAGTTGTGGGATATTTTTACACAGTACAAAAATGTATTACTGTGATTGGTGTAATAAAAAGCTGAATGGCTAACAGCTAGGCAGTAGGTATAGGCAGGACTTCCAGGCAGAGAAAGAACTCTGTAAAGAAACAAGGGGAGATGCAGAGCAAGCAGGATGTACAGGAAGTATCTGCCATGAGCCGTGAGGCAAAGCACAGATTAGTATAAATGGGTTAATTTAAATTATAAGAGCCAGAAAGGAACAAGCCTAAGTTATAGGCTGAGCTTTCCTAACTAATAAAAAGCTTCCATGTCATTACTTAGGAGCTGGTGGGACAGAGAAAGACTTGTACATCCCACCTGCCATGTTTCCTATCCTCCAAATTATTCAGTGTTTCTGTTTCATCGAATGGGTCAAGTTCTCATCATTAGTACTATGGCAGGGGCCCTCCAGGAGCCAAGAAGAAACATGCAACTCTAACACATCTCTTCTGCAACCACCCTGCCTTCATCCTCATTCCAGCACTTTTAGCCTCACTAATTTAGTTTAAAGTACCTATTCAGAATATAAATCACCTCATATGGGTGATAAAGAAGCCAAAACTGTACAAAACACTTTTTTTGAGATATTAACGGCTCTTTGCCTTTAGGAAAATTTCCAGAAACCATGCTAGCACACAATAAACTTCTGCCTGCAAAAGAGCCTCATTTCTCTATTCAGAAAGCCTGCAACAACAGTAGTGAGTCGCTGCACATGCAATTTGCTTTTCCATCCCAGCCTTCTCAATTAACCCCTACTAACTCCATCCCAGTGTCAATTCCTCGGGGAAGCCTTCATGGAATCACTAGACTAGATCAAGGTACTCTGTTACATTCTCACCACATGATGCCTGTCTCCTCCCAAACTCAGTTTTAAGTTTTGTTATTTGGTTACTTTTGTTAACTTTCCTTTCACACTGTAAGCTCAACAAGGATAAAATCTAAGGTATGTTTCAAAGCAAGAGAACTCTATAAGACATATCCTCTGGGAATACAAACAGAGTGAACTTAGAATTCCAAAGCACATCATTCATAAAACTTCCCAAACGGCAACAAAATGCACAGTGAAACAATTCTAAGGGAATTCTTAGGGACAGTCCCTAATTTTAAAACAAACAAAAAAAATGAGACCTAAAGTTCATACAAATTTCATCTTGGTCAACAAGTACAAATGGCTTGTCAAGTGAAAATTTTCACTGCTTCACCATTGCAAAGAATGTCACTTTAACAAGCCAACTGGACATTCATGTTTAAAACAACATATGGATTTGAACAGAAGGCTGATAGTGGGCAGCTTTCTGGATCTCACTCAAGCATGTGTTAAAATGAAAAGACCAATAGCTTCGGGAATGCTAGCACCAGCATAAAAGACCTACCTATGATGCTTGTTTCACCCAGACCTGGTTGACCTACCTGGAAAGTACCTTCCACCTGAGGAAACGCTGAGGACTAAGAAGTGAAATAACGTATATGGAATACCTAGTATATATGAGCTCTGTAAAACCAAGGTTTATCCATCCCACAAATCCCCCCCCAACACACATACACATGCACACACTCTGTCTCTCACACACTCTCTCCCCCATGTTTCCATTTGTGTTGTATTTCTTTGACTGTTCTCAAATATTGAAATACATAAATATTAATTTAAACAGGATTCACCCTATTAAGAAGCTCCATAGCAAATTTAGGTAAACCAAGCATGACTGTATCCCCCACAGGAAACATCCTGCTCTGCTGTCCAAGCATCAAAATTTGTAGAACAACTTTTAGATTCCATCCTGCACCACCCCATTCCCACCCCATCAAAGTGTGTTCCTTCATCCAAATCAGTCATACTTATCCTCTCCCTACAGAAAGGATTTAGTTACTCAGCAGATCCCTTTTGAAGCTATGTACATACATACATACATACATACATACATACATACATACATACATACAAGTGTGTATGTGTGTGTGCTCGTGCTTATTCCTCTTATACATGTGCGGTATTTCCAGAGACCACATAGAACTTTGGAAATGCTGTTCTTCAGTCCTGGAATCAGAAAGTCATTGGATCTTTAGCAAGTGGCACTAACCTGGAGCTATATAGCCAGGAGCTGCTGTAGCCCCCACGAATGCTCCCCTTGTCAGAGTTCCTCTTCCTCTGCCCCGAACTGCCTGAACTGCTGCAGATACTGCCGTATTCACAACACCCTTTGCCTGTAGTAACAACAGTAATAATTTATTTCATCATTGAAAAAGTTTTCAGTCTCTCATCTGCTACAGGTGAGACAGTAAGCCATTTACCGGAAGACTTCTCAGTAGACTATCTGCAAAACAGAAATGACAGCTATCTTAACGAGCTACTCTGAAGAACGTGCTGAACACATGAAAATACCGAGTGACTACATCTCACCCAGGAAAAACCTTCTACATACAAATTTGAGTGGTCAAATTACACCCAAAGCCATTATAGACACATGACACATTGATTTAAAAGCCACTGAATTTTCCACTTAGAGGCAGAAAATATTCCACCAATGAACTTGTGAACCAGGAAAGGGAAGGGAAGGGAAGGGGAGGGGAGGGGAAGGGAGGGGAGGGGAGGGGAGGGGGAGGGGATATTAAAAAAAAAAACACAGTTGATCTATCACGATGCACAAAACTCAAGTCCAAGTGGATTAAAGACCTCAATATCAGTCTGAACACACTGAACCTGATAGAAGAGAAAGTGGGAAGTACTCTACAACAAGTGGGCACAGGAGACCACTTCCTACATATAACCCCAGCAGCACAGACAGTAAGGGCCTCATTGAATAAATAGGACCTCCTGAGACTGAGAAGCTTCTGTAAAGCAAAGGACACTGTCGCTAAGACAGAAAGGCAACCCACTGACTGGGAGAAAATCTTCACCAACCCCGCAACTGACAAAGGTCTGATCTCCAAAATATATAAAGAACTCAAGAAACTAGACTGTAAAAGGCTAATCAACCCAATTATAAAATGGGGCACCGAGCTGAACAGAGATCTCTCAACAGAAGAAGTTCAAATGGCCAAAGGACACCTAAGGTCATGCTCAACTTCCTTAGCGATCAGGGAAATGCAAATCAAGACAACTTTAATATACCACCTTACACCTGTCAGAATGGCTAAAATCAAAAACACCAATGATAACCTTTGCTGGAGAGGTTGTGGAGAAAGGGGTACACTCAACCATTGCTGGTGGGAATGCAAACTTGTGCAACCACTCTGGAAAGCAGTGTGGCGGTTTCTCAGGAAATTCAGGATCAACCTACCCCTGGACCCAGCAATACCACTCTTGGGAATATACCCAAGAGAGACCTTATCATACAACAAAAGTATATGCGCTACTATGTTCATAGCAGCATTGTTTGTAATAGCCAGAACCTGGAAACAACCTAGATGCCCTTCAATTGAAGAATGGATGAAGAAAGTATGGAATATATACATATTAGAGTACTACTCAGCAGTAAAAAACAAGGACTTCTTGAAGTTTGCAGGCAAATGGATGGAAATAGAAAACACTATCCTGAGTGAGGTAAGCCAGACCCAAAAAGAGGAACATGGGATGTACTCACTCATATTTGGTTTCTAGCCATAAATAAAGGACATTGAGCCTATGATTCGGGTTCTTAGAGAAGCTAAATAAGAAGGAGAACCCAAAGAAAAACATATAGGCATCCTCCTGAATATTAACCTTCATCAGGCGATGAAAGGAGACAGAGACAGAGACCCACATTGGAGCACTGGACTGAAATCTCAAGGTCCAAATCAGGAGCAGAAGGAGAGAGAGCACGAGCAAGGAACTCAGGACCGCGAGGGGTGCACCCACACACTGAGACAATGAGGATGTTCTACAGGGAACTCACCAAGGCCAGCTGGCCTGGGTCTGAAAAAGCCTGGGTTAAAACAGGTCTCACTGAACATAGTGGACAATGAGGACTACTGAGACCTCAAGATCATGGGCAATGGGTTTTTGAGCCCACTGCACGTATTGGCTTTGTGGGAGCCTAGGCAGTCTGGATGCTCACCTTACAATACCTGGATGGAGGACTTCCCACAGGGCAGAGAACCCTGATTGCTCTTTGGGCTGACGGGGGGAGGGGGGGACTTGATTGGGGGAGGAGAAGGGAAAGGGGAGGCGGAGGTGGGGAAGAGACAGAAATCTTTAATAAAATAAATAAATAAATTTAAATAAATAAATAAATCTAGTCAGGCAGTGGTGGCATATGCTTTAATCCCAGCACTTGAAAGACAGAAGCAAATTGGTCTATAGAGCAAGTGCCAGGACAGGCTCCAAAGCTACACGGAGAAACCATGTCTCGAAAATAAAATACAATAAATAAATAGATAAATAAATACATCCAGTACATACTCTCAGCAAAGTGGCAGAATATAAAATTAACAAAAATTAGTAGCTTTGATATATATAAATAACAAATTTGCCAAATTCCTAACAGATTCTAACCAAAACACCCAATCAGAGATGAATGATCTCTATAAGTTCATCTTTAAAACAAAGCATCATAACAGCTCATCTCAAATTACACTACAGAGCTATAATAACGGCAGCAGTATGGTGCTAGCACAAAATATCACACAGACTAAGGAAGTAAACTGCAAGATCTATAAATAAGACCAAAGCTACAGGCACTTACTTTTTGACAAAGGTGTCAAAAACACACATTGGAAAAAAGATCACCTCATCAATAAAGAAATAGGATATCCACATGTAGAGGAATGAAACTAAGATCCAATCTCTCAGACAGACAGACAGACAAATTCGATAATCATAATCATAATGTATCAAAGACCTTAAAGAAAGACCAGAAACTCTGAAAGTGCTAAGGGGAATGCAAAGGTCTAGGCACAGGTAAAGGCTTTCTGAAAGAACTCCAATAGCATAGGAAATAAACATAAGAATGGACAAATGGGGTTGCTTCTACTACACAGCAAAGAAAACCACCATCAAAATGACAGAAAAGACAGTGTACAGAATAGGAGAGAAATCTTGGCCACCACACAGAGAATAATCAATAATTTGTAAAGAACTACAAAATTTAAACACCAAAAAAAAATCACTCAGTAAATAGGCTAATGAATTGAATAGACAGTTCTTATAGGAAAAATATAAATGGCCATAAATTTTTAAAATAATGTTCAATACATCACAGAAAAAATAAGTACACTGAGGTTTCATCTCACCCAAGCCAGAAAACAGGACTGGAGATATAAATATAAGTGGTAGAGTGTATGCCTAGCATGCCTAAAGCCCATGTGTATGACCCCACCACCCTAACGACACACACAGAAACAGAAACAGCAAATTCTAGAATACTTATTCATGAGGCCTAAAGAAATGGCTAAGTGGCTGGGAGAACTAGCTGCTTTCCTAGAAGACCCAAGTTCAATTCCCATCACCCATGTGGCGGCTCAAAACTGTCTTTAACTCCAGTTCCAGGGGATCTATAGCACTAAGCATACACATGATGGACATATATGTGCATGCAGGCAAAATATTCATAGACATAAAATAAGTGTTTTTTTTAATAAGACGCACCTTCCGTTGCCCCTGGTAGAAATGTAAATTTGATAGCCACTATAGGATTCATACTAAGGCTCCTCAAAACACTAGAAGTAGAACTACAATATAACACAGCTATACCCAAAGGATTCTAAGTCTATACTACAAAGATACTTGCATATCCATACCTATTGCTGAAGTATCTACAATAGTCAAGACACAGAATCAGCCTAGAAGAACAGATAAAAGGATAAAGAAAATATGATATACACATGAACATAGACACACATACATGAACAGAGAGAGAGAGTGATTTTATTAGGTATAAAGATGATGAAATTTACTAGGTGGTGGTGGCACATGCCTTTGATCCTAGCACTTGGGACGCAGAGACAGGAGGATCTCTGAGTTTGAGGTCAACCTGGTCTATAAGAGCTAGTTCAAGAACAGCTAGGACTGTAACACAGAGAAACCCTGTCTCGATAAACAAAAAAACTACAACAACAAAAACAAAAAGATGATGAAATTATGGTATTTCCAGAAAAACTGGTAGAAATGGAGATGATTATATTATACAAAATAGACCATTTGAGAGGACAAAAGCGCCAGCATTGGGTTAGGAGGGATTGGGACAGGGGAGAGGGCAGTGGATTGGGAGAACAAAGTACAATGGCAAACATGTATAAAAATGTCACAATAATCCATGCCTGTGTTTAATCCCAGCACTCGGGAGGCAGAGGAAAGTGGATCTCTGAGTTTAAGGCCAGTCTGGTCTACAAAGAGAAATTCCAGAACAGCCAGGCTACCCAAGGAAACCCTGTCTCAAAAAAAACAAAAAAAAAAAAATCACAATGAAACCCCATATTTTATATACCAATTAAAAATATGGTGGGGAGCTGGGAGGTGGTGGCACACGCCTTGAATCCCAGCACTCAGGAGGCAGAGGAGTTCGAGGCCAACCTGGTCAAATAAGAGCTAGTTCCAGGACAGGCTCCAAAGCTACAGAGAAACCCTGTCTCAAAAAACCAAATATATATATACACACGGTGGGGGTAAGAGAATGGCTCAGTAGTTAAAAGTCTAACTGCTCTGTGTTTGGTTCCCAGTATCTACTTCTGGTGGCTCACAATTGCCTTTACCAACTGCAACTCTAGTAAGCTTTAGGGGATCTCACACCCTCTTCTGGGCTCTGTAGAAACCTTCACACATGTGGCATACATTCACAGTTACACAGATAAAAATGTAGTCCTGTTGGTTTGAAAAATAACATATAAACTAAGCCGGCCTAGAACTAACAGGAATCTAATTACGTACCTTATTTCCCAAGTGTGGGAAAAAAATAAAATTTAAGGAGACACTAAAATGGCAAATAAACAGGATATTTAACTTGAGAATATTACAAAGGTTTCATTTATACCTGAGGAATGATCTTCTTTTTCTTATTATTTGCTGCATTGGGTCCAGAAAACAGCTTCTCCAGAGCAGCTAGTGCTGCACTTGCCTTGGCCACTTTCTTGTTTGGACCTGCACCTCTAAATTTCTGGCCATCTACTTCTACCTGAAATTAAAAACATCACTTTACAGTTATCTCAGAAAACTCTCTGTACATGTCTTTTAACTTGAAGATATCATAGGGATGGAGAATTAGTTCAGCAGTTAAGAGTACTTGATGCTCTTGGAGAGGACCTACATTCAATTCTCAGCACTCACATGTGGCTCACAACTGTTTATAACTCCATTTTCAGGGGATTCAACAGGCAATGATACACACACATACATGCAAGCAAAGCATTAGTACACATAAAGTAAAATAAATCTAAACAAAGAAAAATTTTAGGAAGAAAATACTGAAAGTCAAATAATGTTCTTAAAATAATAAAAGCTAACATAAGTCTAAAATGCTTTCTACTAACAGTTCAAGAATATGTCTGTGAAATAAAAAATAAGGTAGATATGTATTTAGGTACGCACCTCCATTACAAAGCGCTTGTCATGGCTTCCACCAGTCTCTGAGATGAGTTCATACTTGAGACCTCTCCTTTTTTCATTGAGTTCCATTACAGGGTTTTTGCCACTTGCTGTGAGAATAGGACCCTGAGTTCTTACCTAAAAGAGAAAGGGAAGATAAGACGGTCAATCACGACTTCAAAACACCTCATTTCTTTTAAATATAATTATATTAAAAGTAAATTTATTAATTCTAATTAATAAGGGCTAAAATGAATCACCTTTGTACCCTTATGGTGAAACATTATCTAAGGTGATGAAACTCTGTAAGCGGTAAATACAGTAGTCTTCTCAACAGCCTGCCTTTCAAGGATTGCCCCCATTCAAAAACACAAGGAACACTGCTGCTCACTCCATAGTAGTGCAGGGTCTGAACTGAACTGAACTGTGCAAGTTCTGAGACTGCAGGTAACTAACAAAGCAGATACAACAACTGAAATTTGCATAATGCCTTGAAGATTCACAATTTCCATCTTTAGGTATGCAACAAGTAACTCTCAATTTTGGATGTGAGAGAGAAATGTTTCTATATGCCCCTCGGTCCCTCTAAACATATCTGAAAGTGTTTAATATAAAAAACAATAGCCTATAAACTATGGATTTTGAAGTTTAAAAGTAACAAAAAGTACAGTATAATTGTTACAGAGCAGGTACCTGCTGTAGAAACCTGTTTGGCACTACTGAGGTGAAACCTCACTTAGAGCTCATTCTCTAGCCCAAGCAAGCTAGAACTCAATGCTTTTTGCTGTGGTTTTGTTTTCTGAGACAGGGATTCTCGGCATAGCTTTTGGCTGTCCTGGAACTCCTTCTGTAGACCAGGCTGGTCTCAAACTCAGAGATCTGCCTTCCTCTACCTCCTAAGCGCTGGGATAAAAGATGTACGCTACCACTGCCCAGTGGAACTCAAGTTTTATATTCTCATTTCTTTGGTTACAACTTGCCAAGAGCTGGGATTACAACCATGTACTGACACACCCATCCACACAAGATTACTTTTAAAGGACAGTTTCCTTGAAATACATACATGCACACCTGGTTTTAAAGGGCTCAGTGCCAGACCAATCATGAGTAGCTATCAAGGAAAAAGGGAGAATTAGCAAGTCAAAGGACAGTGTAGTTTGGCAATATGGGGGTAGGGAAATATTACATTCTTATTAGAAGGATGGTTCCAAACCACAAAACACTTTTTATGCAAACAAATCTCGCTCCCCACCCACCCATACACAAATCACCCAACTTTGATCAATTAAGGTAATTTAAAAAAAGAAATAAGAGATCTCCACTCACTGCCACAAAGCAGAAATAGTACCCACTACCAAAAGTCATGTAGCTGCTATGAGAGAAGCTCACACTGTAGTACTAATTCTAATTGATCTTAATAATAAAAACTTGGAGTCAGCTATCAGGGGTGAAACCTGGAAGATCAAGCCAGGAAGTGGTAACGCACACCTTTAATCCCAGCACTCAGCAGGCGGATCTCTGTGAGTCTGAGGCCAGCCTGGTCTACAAGAGCTAGGACAGCCTCCAAAGCTACAGAGAAACCCTGTTGGGGGTGGGAGGGAGTTGGATGGATGGACTGAAAGATCAGAGAAGCAGAGCAGCCAGTCACTAGAGAGCTCTATCTACCAATGCTCAGACGAAGGGGAGATCCTGTCTCTACGAATCCTCAGACTGAATGCTCTCCACCTATCTTCTTTAGCAACCTAGGAGAAACTAGTGTTCTACAGCAGTGTTCTCCATACCAACCAGACCACTTGGCACTGCTCAAACATGTATACTTAAAACTCCAGAACATGGCAGCTCACCTTCTTTCAACCTAGAATACCTGTTCCCTCCATTCCTGCAGAAGTGTTCTAATTTCACATGGCTTTAAGTGTATGCGCCAGGAACAAACACTCCTTCCAGAGAGACTTGGCATTATTGTATTTATCTGGAGCACCTACTATGACTCTAGCCTTTTGCTTTTTGCAGTAGTGCATTTTCAGACTCAGGACACAATGGTTGCAGCACAGCAAGCTAAGCAATTACTGACAGGGATTTACAGACTTCAGTCCTTAACAATTACTTACTCTTATAACTGAGGCAGGAACCTAGTTTGTGATTTTGTTAGTGTTTTACTTTTTTTCTGACTTAATTTTATTGATTTTTATTGAGCTCTACAGTTTTCTATGCTCCCCTTCCTGCCTCTCACCTCCCCTTCAACCCTCTCGCAAAATCCCCATGCTCCCAATTTACTCAGGAGTTCTTGTCTTTTTCTACTTCCCATGTAGATTATATCTATGTATGTCTCTCTTAGGGTCCTCATTGTTGTCTAAATTCTCTGGGATTGTAATTTGTGGGCTGATTTTCTTTGCTTTCTGTTTAAAAACCACTTATGAGTGAGTACATGTAATATTTGTCCTTCTGGGTTTGGGTTACCTAACTCAAAATATGTTTTCTAGCTCCATCCATTTTCCTGCAAAATTCGAGATGTCATTATTTTTTTCCTGGTGAATTCGAGGGGCATATATGCTGTTTCCAGGTTCTGGCTATGACAAACCATGCTGGTATGAACATAGTTGAGCACATGTCCTTGTGGCACGATTAAGCATCCTTTGGGTGTATACCTAAAAGTGGCGCTTGAGGAAGGTTGTTTCCTACTTTTCTAAGAAATCGCCACACAGATCTCCAAAGGGGCTGTACCAGCTTGCATTCCCAGCAGCAATACAGAAGTGTTCCCTTTGCCCCACAACCTCTCCAGCATAAGTTGTCATCAGTGTTTTTTATCTTGGACATTCTTATAGGTTTAAGATGGAATCTCAGAGTTGTTTTGATTTGCATTTCTCTGATGACTAAGGATGTTGAGCATTTCCTTAAGTGTCTTTTAAGCCATTCTAGATTCCACTGTTGAGGTCTGTACTCAGTTTTTTTATTGGATGATTTGTTCTTTTGATGATCAATGTCTTGAATTCTTTGTATATTTTGGAGATCAGACATCTGTCTAATGTGCGGTTGATGAAGATCTTTTCCCATTCTGTAGGCTGTCGTTTTGTCTTATTGACAGTGTCTTTTGCTTTACAGAAGCTTTTCAGTTTCAGGAGGTCCCATTTATTGTTTCTCTAAGTGTCTGTGCTACTGGGTTTATATTTAGGAAGTGGTCTTCTGTGCCAATGTGTTCGAGTATAATTCCCACTTTCTCTTCTATGAGGTTGAATGTGGCTGGCTTTATGTTGAGGTCTTTGAGCCATTTGGACTTGAGTTTTGTGCATGGTGATAGATATGGTTCTATTTTCATTCTTCTACATGTTGATATCCAGTCATGCCAGCACCACTTGTTAAATATGCTTTTTTTTCCATTTGATATTTTTTTGTTCTTTGTCAAAAATCAGGTGTTTGAAGGTGTGTGGATTAATATCTGGGTGTTCAATTTAGTTCTGTTGGTCCTTCTGTCTGTTTTTATGCCAATACCAGGCTGTTTTCAGTACTGTAGCTCTGTAGTAGAGTTTGAAGTCAGGGATTGTGATGCCTCCAGAAGTTCTTTTATTGTACAAGATTGTTTGGTTTATCCTGGGTTTTTTTGCATTTCCACATGAAGTTGAGTTCTTTCGAGGTCTGAAGAATTTTTCTGGGATTTTGCTGGGCATTGCACTGAATCTGTAGGTTGCTTTTGGTAAGATTGCCATTTTTACTATGTTAATTCTACCTACCCAAGAGCATGGGAGATCTTTCCACTTTCTGGTGTCTTCTTCAGTTTCTTTCTTCAAAGATTTAAAGTTCTTGCCATACAAGTCTTCCACTTGTTTGGTTCGAGTTACTCTGAGATATTTTATGCTATTTGTGCCTATTGTGAAGGGGGATGTTTCTCTGATTTCTTTCTCAGCCCATTTATCATCTGTGTACAGGAAGACTACTGATTTTTTTTTTTTTGAGTTAATCTTGTTTCCTGCTATATTACTGAAAGTGTTTATGAGTTGTAGAAGATCCTTGGTAGAATTTTTGGGTCACTTATGTAAACAATCATATCAGTAAACAGTGAGAGTTTAACTTCTTTCCTGATATGTATCCTCTTCATCTCCTTTTCTTAATGCTCTAGCTAGGACCTCAAGAACTATACTGAATAGATATGGAGAGAGTGGACAACCTTGTCTTGTTCCTGATTTCAGTAGAATAGCTGGGAGTTTCTCTCCAGTTAGTTTGATGTTGGCTGTTGGCTTGCTGTATACTGCCTTTATTTTGTTTAGATATGTTCCTTGTATCCCTGCTCTCTCCAAGACCTTTATCATGAAGGGATGTTGTATTCTGTGGAAAGCTTTTTCGGCATCTAATAAGATGACCACATGGTTTTTATTTTTCAGTGAGTTTATATGGTGGATTATGTTGACAGATTTTTTTGTATGTTGAACCATCCCTGCATCTTGGGATGAAGCCGACTTGATCATGGTGGATGATGGTTCTGATGTGTTCTTGGATTTGATTTGCCAGTATTTTATTTAGTGTTTTTGCATCAATGTTCATGAGTGAGACTGGTCTATAATTCTCTTTCTTAGTTAATGTGTTTCTGTGGTTTGGGTATCAGGGTAATTGTAGCCTCATAAAAAGAGTTTGGCAATGTTCCTTCAGTTTCTATTGTGTGGAACAATTTGAGGAGTATTAGTCCTTCTTTGAAAATCTTGTCGAATTCTGAGCTTATACCATCTGGTCCTGGGCTTTTTTTTTTGGTTGGGAGACTTTTGATGACTGTTTCTATTTCTTCAGCAGTTGTAGGTCTGTTTAATTTGCTTATCTGGTCTTGATTTAATTTTGGTAAGTGATATTTATCCAGAAAGTTGTCCATTTCCTTTAAGCTTTCCAGTTCTGTGGAGTACAACTTTTAGAAATATGACATGATGATTCTCAGTATTTCCTCCGTGTCTGTTATGTCCCCCTTTTCATTTCTGATTTTGTTAATTTGGATATTCTGTGTCGTTTGGTTAGTTTGGATAAAGGTTTGTCTATTTTGTTGATTTTTCTGGAAGAACCAATTCTTTGTCTCAATGATTCTTTGTATTGTCTTGTTTCTATTTTGTTGATTTCAGCTCTCAATTTGATTATTTCCTGCTGTCTAGTTATCTTAGGTGAGTTTGCTTCCTTTTGTCCTAAAGTTTTCAAATGTTCTGTTAATTCATTAGTGTGGGATTTTTTTTCCAGCTTCTTTATGTAGGCGTTTAGTGCTATGAACTTTCCTCATAGTGTTTTTATTGTGTCTCATAAATTTTGGTATGTTGTGTGGTCATTTTCATTGAATTTTAGGAAGTATTTAATTTCTCCTTTTATTTCTTTCTCAAAGCATTGATGATTCAGGTGAGCACTATTTAATATTCATAGGCATATCTTTCTTTAGGTTAAGAAAGTTTTCTTCTATGATGTTGTTAAATATATTTCCTGTACTTCTGAGTTGAACTTCTTCTATACCTATTATTCTTAGGTTTGGTCTTTTCATGGTATCCCATATTTCCTGATATTTTGGGTTAAGCTTTTGTTAGATTTAATGTTTTCTTTGATTGATGAGTCTATTTCCTCTATTGTATCTTCAGCACTTGAGATTTTCTCTTTCATCTCTCGTATTCTGCTCTTTATGCTTACGTTTGTGGTTCCTGATCATTTTCTCATGATTTCTGTTTCTATAATTCCCTTGGCTTGTGATTACTTTATTGTCCTATTTCAGTTTTCAAGTCTTGAATAATTTCTTTCATATGTTTAATGCTTTTATTTTTGGTTTTCTTTAAGGGATTTATTTGCGGATGTCTTCCAATATTTTGTTTGTCTTTTCCTCCATTTCTTTGAGGGAATTTCCTCATTTCCTCTTTAAGAGTTTCCTGAAGTTATTTTTTAGGTCATTTTCTTTTGCTTTATCTATTATTGGTTGTTCAAGTCTTGCTGTTGTATGGTCTCTAGATTTTACTGGTGTTATGTTGCTCTTTGTGGTATTGCATGTGTTTTTACCTTGTCTACTCATCTTTTCCTCTAATTGTTTTGCTTGGGGCTGTCTGTGATTCTGGTGATTATTATCTGCTAGGTGCCAGTAAATCCAACACTCCTATGGTTGTTCCTCATGGTACAGTCAGTGCCACAATTCTAGTTACCCCATTGGTCACTCCATGTTCCTGGAGGTCACTCAACACTCTGGGCTTAGCTCTGTTCCTATGGAGTTTGCTTTCTCAGGCCTGCTCTAGACTAGGTTGTTGGCTCAGACCTGTTTCTCTAAATGTCTCTGGTCTGGATCTGCTCCTTCAGAAGTCCCTGGCTTGGAGTAGGTCCTGTAAATGTCTCTGGCTCTGATCTACTCCCTCAGAGTTCCCAGGCTCAGGTATGCTCAGACCCGTAGAGGACCTGGCTCAGGCGTACTGCCTCAGAGTTCCCAGACTCATGCCCAAACCTGCAGAGATTTCTGGTTCCTGCCTGGACACACAGACGTCCTAGCTCAGGCCTAGTTCTTCAGGGGTCTTGACACAGGTCTACTCCCTCAATGGTGCCAGATTCATGGCCGGACCCGCAGTGGTCTCTGTTTCTGGCCACTCCCTATGCAGTTGCTCCCCTGTACCTGCTCCTGTGGAGTTCACAGTCTCAAGTATGCCCTGGCCCATGTCTCTGGCTCCGCAAATGTCCTCCGCAAATGTCCCTGGTCTGAATCCGTTCCACTCTCTTGGAGCTTGCTGTCTCAGGCTGTTCTGGCCTAGGTAGCTGGCATACTCTTGCTCTTTTGAAGTGTGCTGCCTCAGACCTGCTCTGGTGTAGGTCACTGGCTCAGTCCTTGTTTTACTTTTTAATGTAGGGATTTATTTTTGCTTTCCAATTTTTCCGTCTGATATGCAGAAGGTCTTTTTTTCTGCCTGTTTGTGTTTCCCATCCTCAATAAAATGCTTTTTTCCTTCAATTGCCATTCTATCAGTAAGTCTTGAGATTTCTTTGCTGTTATTGCTTGTCTCCTGATGTTTCCTATCCTTTATCCTTTAACTGGCAGAGAAAATAAACTCCATCAAAACTCCTAAATGATATGACTTTGGGGGATCATCTCTGACTTCTGAAGTTGGTATCATTTTAAGACCTAACTTGGGATTTCTTTTGAGGACCACCAACTAACTCATCAAGATGCTACCTCACACGACAAGCTCCTAAGATACATACCATCACCAAATCCTTTCTTATGCTCCGGATCATTGCCCTCAGTTAAATTTTATCATTGGCCCCTTAGATGATTCACTCTTTGAGGCACTGTGACTGTTGCCCACATCATCAGCTCTAAGAACCTAAGAGGAACTGTCACCCTTAAACCTCCTAACACCTGTTAGGGTGATCTCTGAGGAAAAGTGATAAGAAACCAGGAGTTACACATACTCCCATTAGGAGTGAGATAGGGCAAGAAAGGTAACAAATCTCTAAGATGGCCAGCTTCTTCCTAACCCTCCAGACTTGAAACAAAAGCAAGGCTTTGATCTTCCACCAGTAGTTCCCCTATGATGGATAGGCTCAAGTTCAAGGCTGTTCAGGACATGTCACACAACAGTTCTGGGACAATCAACCATCCTGTCTTTCTTCAAACTGACTGACCCTAAATTAGGGAAGGAAGATCTTCAGGACCTTTAAAACCCCTAGAGAAGAAACTGGGTTTCTCAGCTTTCTGAGTCCTCCCTCTGCTTTGCAGAGTCTTTTTTTTCTCTGTACACTCCATGTCTGCTATGTGTGTTTCCTCACCCCAAATAAACACTTTTCTTCAAAAAAGTAAAATAAATGTGAGTTTCTGCTATTATTCCAAAGCCAGTTCTTCAGAAGGAATGCAACCAACATGGGTTCCTCTCAATGTACTACACATACTCAGTACTTAGATTCATCCCATTCTATTATCTGGGACCACCAGTGCTGACTCTGATTCTTAAATACACAGTGGGCAGTCTACACCCTCCTGTAAAGACGTACAAATTAAATGGTGAACTTATCCTCATGTGCCCCTGCTTAGCACACACTTCAAAAAATTGTTTCCTCCACTAGATTTTTTTTGGTTTTGTCCTTCAGTTAGTACCGATAGTCTTGATATATTATAATTATGACATTCTAGAAGTATCTTCCATGTTCAGCAGGCTTCTTAAATTATCATATAGGTTTTTTTTCTATAGGTATGTTGACATTCTTTTAGGAGGTCAATAAAAGAAGATCAAAATGTACAACTATTTGAAAATATAGCTGTCATCATACATATATTCAGAAATATCTCTGGGCAAAATTAAGGTAAAGAGCCATGTAGGAAGATAAGGTCTACAGGAAGACGTGAGTCAACCTGGAGTCTGCCTGCAGGCCTAGCAACAGGTGCTGTCCTGATTATGCCTAAAAATGAGGGGTGACCACTCGTCGACAGATCAGATCTCAGCTTGAGTGCTAGGAGGAAGGTATACAAGGCTCTTCCCATTGCTGAATAAATGAGCCTGCAGTTTGTCGTTTACCTAACTCTAGCTGTCTATGTTGTTGACACTGCGCCTTTTCACCCACTCCCCTGAGGGAGCAGTTAGGAACCAGAAACAGAGCCAAATGTTGTGACAATACTCCTGTAATCCGAGCACTTGGAAAGTAGAAGCAGGAGTTCAATGTCAACATCAACTATACAGCCAGGCTGGACTACTAGAAGCCCAGTCTCAAAAACAAACAAAACAGCCCAGGCGATGGTGGCACACGCCTTTAATCCCAGCACTTGGGAGGCAGAGACAGGTGGATCTCTGTGAGTTTGAGGTCAGCCTCAAACTAAAAGAGCTAGTTCCAGGACAGGCTTCAAAGCTACAGAAAACCCCTGTCTCGAAAAACCAAAGGGGGGGGAAAAAAAAAAAAAACAAAGCATAATAATCAAGCAGAGAGCTACAGCTGTGGCTCAGTGGTACAGTGCTTGCCTAGTATCCACAAAGTCTAGGGTTTGACGCTCAGTACCACTCAAACTATTAGTAATTTATGCCTCTTTGAGACACTTACTCTTTTCCACATCTCTAAGATTTCCACAACACTCACATTATATTCTACAGAAGAAAAAAAAACACAAGTATACCTCTAAGGTACTGGAGGTCTCAGTTGTAGAATTTCCAGTATTATTGCTTGAGTTTGAAGATACTGTTTCATTTTTGCTTTCATTATCTGATTTTTCATCGGAGCTCATACATTCAATATCTGCATCAAAACCTGTTGGGTATCCCATTGCCTGCAAAACCTGCACAAATCCCATTAAAACATGTTTATTCAGTTACTAAAGATCAAAACTGACAGCTGAAATTGGGAGATAAAAAGGGTTTCAGAATCTGTAACATTTAGTTTTCAGAAACACCTGTGAAGAACAAAATTGTACTACACCTTTGAATCCTCGGTTCAGTCCATTCCATGTACCAGGATATCACTGCATGAGAATGGGAAAGTTTCCTCAGAGTACCTAGCTCAAAGACTTCAGAAATGCAAGTCTAAAATTACTGCTAGTTCATTTAATTTGGAGGTGAATAATAAAGGTAACATACAGCACTGTCAAGCTCAACCAATGGAGGGGGGAGATGACATTCAAACAGCACCCAAAAAAGGAAATGAAACAAGACGTTAAAGCCTACTCTTATCACTCCCCTCTGGTCTTCAATCTCTCCATCTATAAAGCAGAAGAATGGATCAGCTGACCTTTAAATTCTGTGACAACCATTGAGAAATTGGCCAAGGGACAGAATCCAAAGTTGTTGTCGTTGTTGCTTTGTTCTGTTTGTATTTGGTTGGTTTCACTTTGTGTTTTACCTTCAAATTGGTTTGCCAATAGAGCCACAATTTCCAGATTTGTTTCTTTTGTGTCTCTCTCAAGGCTTCATAGCTACAAAGCTTTTGCAATATTGCCTGTGTGGGCTTTTGTGCAAGCAGGTGTGCGCAAGCACATGTACATCATCTTTGACCACTCCTTCCTGATTACACTGTTTTTACAGTAAACAAGACAATGAATTCACTAGTATCTTAAATCTCTTCCAAAGTAGATTAATTAGTTACTGACTAAACTTTTTTTTAACTTTATTTTTAAGTAAAAGAGAGTGATAAGGATCAAACTCAAGGTCTTGCCAGGATGTGTGCTTGCTCACCACTGAGCTATTCTCTCATTCTCTCAGCCTTTAATTAAAACAATATGCCCATGGATATAGGAGTAAGGATCTAAAAAATCAGTTTTTAGTTGCTGGAGTATATAAGCAAAGACATATTTCTCCATTTTACCTATTGTAATTAAAAGGTGACTCAAAATGATGTTTTGGTCAAATTTAAAAAAAAAGTCTTTGTAGAAAATGACAGCTATATAAAAGATTTTACCAATAGAAACAAAACAGTAATACCCACAAAACAAAAGAAGGGGCTTAAGTTGAACTCTGTGCAAAGGGAATTAGAAATTAACTCATCCAATTCATACAGAGAATCTGGCATTCTCATCATAAATAAATTCCTTAAGTTTACTAAGCCATAAAGCCAAGAACCCCTTTTAACATCTTAAGTTCTAAAAGTACTCAGACAGCACTTAACACTAAGTACACTAACATCACTTGGCTAGTACATCAATATTTCATAAAGAAAACACCTGCTCCCATGAGTTCTGAAAATAATGCTCTCCCCCTGAATAATCTCACCCTGGACAAGAGATACGGATATAAAACTAAAATTAATAATGCCCACCACAGGTCAAAGTCAAGCATCACCAACAATGGGGCTTGTCTCTTCTATTACAAAGGCACAGAGGGATGTGGCTTGGAATTCGGGTACTCTAAGTTCAAATCTCAGCATCACAGCAGGGGAAAGAAGGTTTCTCAATTTAATAGCAATTGAAATCTCAATGATAATTATTGAATACAACTTCTTCCTTTGCTATTCTCACTTGTCCTAAGCCATTTATTTGTTAACACAAGTTACAATTTATAAAAGTGGTGTATTATCTCTTGAGAGATACAATATCCGCATTCAAGATAAATAGATACCTAATAACTACTTTTAATAACCGAGGTTGAAGAGACCAGCAATGGTTGATCTTGAAGTAGACCTGGGTTAAGTTCCCATCACCCATGTGGTGGTTCACAACCACCTGTAACTCCAATTCCAAGGGACCCAGCACTTTTTTCTGACTACTGTGGACACAGCACACATACACAAGAGAAGGCAAAATGCTTATACACATATAAAAATAAATAAATCTTTAAAATAGCTAATAAAAGGTAGAAACATAGCACCAAAGTAGAATTCTTGCCTAGCATACATGAAGTCCTTGATTCATTGTGTATCTGTATGCCTGTGTGTCTGTGCCCCCCACATCAGGGTGAAATCCCTTGGCAGACAAGGGATAGGACTAGTATGAAACTTCAAGTTTCTTACATGGTCAATAAGACAAAACGACAGCCTACAGAATGGGAAAAGATCTTCACTAACCCCACATCAAACAGAGAGGTCTGATCTCCAAAATATACAAAGAATTCAAGACATTGGTCATCAAAAGAACAAATCATCCAATAAAAAAAAAAATGAGTACAGACCTCAACAGTGGAATCTAAAATGGCTGAAAGACACTTAAGGAAATGCTCAACATCCTTAGTCATCAGAGAAATGCAAATCAATACAACTCTGAGATTCCATCTTACACCTATAAGAATGTCCAAGATATAAAAAAAAAAAAAAAAAAAAAAAAAAAACACTGATGACAACTTATGCTGGAGAGGTTGTGCGGTAAAGGGAACACTCCTACATTGCTGGAAGGAATGCAAGCTGGCACAGCCCCTTTGGAGATCTGTGTGGCGATTTCTTAGAAAGTTAGGAAACAACCTTCCTCAAGCACTCAGTAATACCACTTCTGGGTACATATCCAAAGGATGCTCAATCGTGCCACAGGACATGTGCTCAACTATGTTCATAGCAGCATTGTTTGTCACAGCCAAAACCTGGAAACAACCTAAGTGCCCCTCAACTGAAGAATGGATAAGGAAAATCTTGAATTTTGCAGAAAATTGGATGGAGCTAGAAAACATTATTTTGAGTGAGGTAACCCAGACCTAGAAAGACAATTATCACATGTACTCACTCATAAGTGGTTTTTAAACATAAAGCAAAGAAAACAAGCCCAAAAATCACAATCCCAGAGAACCTAGACAACAATGAGGACCCTAAAAGAGACTCACAGAGATCTAATCTACATGGGAAGTAGAAAAAGACAAGAACTCCTGAATAAATTGAGAGCATTGGGACCTTGGGAAAGGGTGAAGGGGAGGGGAGCAGAGAAAAATGTAGAGCTCAAAAAAAAATAAAAAAAAGTACCCTCTGTTACGGGCTTTTAGGAAAAAGCTGCAAGAGGAGAGAGAAGCTGCAACTGGGTAGGCTAAGTCACACTAATGTGGCATGACAGATTTCTGCTTGATTTATTGCACTTTGACTCTGGAGTGACCTCTCTGAAGAGGTATTTTCTCCAAGAGCCACTAAGACGACTGGAAAGATGGCCTATGTGGTCCTGTCACAAAGGATCTACCTTCAGAAATACACCACTCCCTCCGACTCATCTGTACATGTCTGTATCACCTACAGGGATAGCTGATGTGGGAGTGTCATATATTAATCTGTTGATTTCATTGGTTAAGTAATAAACACACTGCTTGGCCTCATAGGTTAAAGTATTGGTGGGAGGAGTAAACAGAATAGAATTCTGGGCCGAAGAGGAAGTGAAGTCAGACTCTGCTCTGCTCCCGGACAGGATGGACGGAGGCTAGAATCTTCCCGGTAAGCGCACCTTGGGGTGCTTACACAGATGATTAGAAATGGGCTAGTCCAGGTGCGAGAGTTAGCCTAGAAGAGGCTAGATAGAAAGAAATGGGTCAAGCAGTTCTTAAATGAATACAGTTTGTGTGTTGTTATTTCGGGCATGAGCTAGCCAAGCGGCCGGGGTGTTGGGGACGCAGCCCCGCCGCTCCTATTTCAACAGATAGCAATCTTGCAATGTATTCTGATACATAATAGGATTCTCAATACATTTTTTTTTTTTTGGTTTTTCGAGAAACCTGTAGCTTTGGTGCCCGTCCCGGAACTAGCTCTTGTAGACCAGGCTGGCCTCGAACTCCCAGAGATCCGCCTGCCTCTGCCTCCCGAGTGCTGGGATTAAAGGTGTGCGCCAACACCGCCCGGCTCTCAATACATTTTTTAATGAATTATTCATTAACTTTGGCCTAGTAATTCCATCTCTAGAACTTATCTTATAGAATAATAAGGCAAAGTCACAAATAGGAAAAGCAATAAACTAAGACATCCAAAACAAATACTTTATGATAACTTGATAAAAAATAACCTTCACTTAATATTACAACAATCTTTAATAGAAAAATAACTTAACATGGACCTACTTTATGTACATATTTATACACAACATGTATATCCACTGTTCTTGGGGCTAATTTCCTTTGAGAATTCTTAAGTTCCATTTCCAAAACTTAACACAAAACCAAGTGACTTGCCAAATCCCAAGTGAATTCTCAGGTACTAACTTATACATATATATGTATACATGTATTCATATATAGAAACAATAAGTGGAATAATAAAGACTAAAAATAACCCTTTGTCAATTCAGGTTTGGTCTTGCCACCCAATTAGTAGAAACTCCATGATTACATGGAACAGGTAAATGTCCTTCAATTTTAGAACTGTACATTTAAATGAAAATAAATCTCAGGAAAAAATATACACCTTCTGCATGTAAATGTAAAAACTGCTATTATTTCTAACTCAGAATTAAGGAGGTTTCATTCTAAACCATAACAAACATACATGACAACTAAAAAGAGAAAGAAAAGCCAACTTTTAAAAAAGCCAGATGTAAAATAAAAAACTACCTAAAAAGCTTGTACTGGCATGATGGAGGACACAAGTACTTGCTGCAGATCTGATAACTGAAGTTTGATCCATGGATCCCATAAGATAGGAAGAGAGAACAGACGCCCACACGCTGTCCTGACAGTCACATTCACACTCATGCCATCACAATGTACACTCTTCCCCACTACATACATACATACGTTAAAAATATTAACATTAAAAATTGAAAACCTTGGAAAGAACTCTAGAACATAGCTACCTAGTACACAAACTAGTATAAGAAGGGGAAGACACAGAACGGACCACAGGCTACTTCTGACTACACCTTCATATAACATTGTTGAATAACAAATTATTCACAGAGGGGCATCCAAAGCTTCAAAGCCAATTTACTCAGGTATTTCACCTTCCCTGAGTGGATCAGCAATCTAGTTGAGTGACTGCTCAAAATGGGCAAATCTCATCTCTTCACAAAGTTCAGATTTACTACTCAACTGCACATTCTACCTGAACTGCAACAAAGAAAACGAAGAGAAAGAGGAAAAGCATGACAGTCATCTACTTCTGAAACATCTAAGAAGGATATTTGGTGTGAGACAATGTTCTGTGTTCTGTCAATTATGTTTTAAATAAACGCTAATTGGCCAGTAGCCAGGCAGGAAGTATAGGCAGGACAACCAGACAGGAAGTAGAGGCGGGTCAATGAGAACAGGAGAATTCTGGGAAGAGGAAAGCCCATTCTTCCGAAGTCTTCTGTGGCCCAGCCACAAAAGAAGCAAGATGTGACTGTCTCGCTGAAAAAAGGTACTGAGCCATATGGCTAATGTAGACAAGAATAATGGGCTAATATACATTATAAGAGTTAATAAGAAGCCTGAGGTAATGGGGCAATCAGTTTATAACTAATAGAGACCTCTGTGTGATTCTTTTGGGACTTAACAACTGAGGGAACCAGGCAGGACAGAAACCTCAGACAACAGATGTTAACTTGCTCCTCTCACCCAATTCCATTATAATTATAACTGATGTCTCAGATGTGTGCTTATATACCTTTGGAATATAGAAAGCAAACTGAGAAACTCTAAGTATACAAGCCCTCCCCCCCATATTTATCAAAATTTAGGTTAAAATAATTCATCATGGTATAATATTGTTATACTGCATCAAATAAAAATAGCATCTAATTTACAACATAAAAAAATTTAACTACAAGTTGCTATGAGACTATTAGCATAAAGTAAAAGAAGACAATCCATTAAGGATCACTGGTTTCCTATTTTATAAAGATCTACCCAGAAGAAATGCCCACCTGACCCTTATACAAACACAACTGTGACTCTCAGAAATCAACTGACTGTTTTTATGTCACAGATAGTTTATTTCACAAGATTTTTGTCTCACTGGCTACAGAATTTAGCTTTAAACTTGCAGTTCATTCTCAGGTTCATTTGCGATGGTGAATTTTGTTTTAGTTTTGTCTTCTTAACACAAGCTTGGGTCATCTGGTAAGAGAGAACCTCAATTTAAAAAATGCCCCTAGAGAAAGACCATCTCTGTGAGTTCAAGGCCAGCCTAGTTTAAAAGAGCTAGTTCTAGGACAGGCTTCAAAGCTACAGAGAAACCCTGTCAAGAAAGAAAGAAAGAAAGAAAGGAAGGAAGGAAGGAAGGAAGGAAGGAAGGAAGGAAGGAAGGAAGGAAGGAAGGAAGGAAGGAAGGAAGGAAGAGAAAATGCCCCCGTAAGATTGGCAAGTCTGTAAAGTTTTTTTTTTTTAACTGATGGATGTGGGAGGGTCTAGCCCACTGCAGGCAATGCCACCCCTGGGATATATAAGAAAGCAAACTGAGAAAGCCACAGGGAGCAAACCGGTAAGCAGATTTCCTCCATGGCCTACTTATGCTTCACTTCTTCTCTCCAGGTTCCTGTCCTGTCTTCCCTTCAAGATGAACTGTGTATAAAGTGTAAGCTGAAATAAAGCTTCTCCTGCCCACACTGATCTTTATCACAGCAATAGAAAACAACTGAAGCAGTTATTACACTCTTTTTTTTTTTAAGTCTTTTAAGTCTTGGGTTCAATTTACAGTCTCATTTTAAACTCATATCCTCATATGATAAACTCATATCATACTTAAGCACCCAACTTATAAACAAAGCAGAATATACACTGTCTGGTATCTTTATCACTTTGTTACTATTTTTCTGTATAGTTCTAATCACTAACATAACATACACTTTCCATATATGCATTATTTATAGCTCCATCCTATCCACACTAAGTTCCATAAACTCTTCTTACCTTAGCATATAGCATACTGCTTTAGCAAATGTAATATCCATGAAAACAGACTAATTCTATTTTATACCATATACTCTTAAATCACAGAATAAATAAAAATCAGACTTCATTGTACATACATGATCTGTGACATTTTGGCATTAGTCTACAATAAATCGAATTTATTTATTGAGATATTTCATTATTTGGGCATTTTCTACATACATGATTGATTATTCAAAAATCTTCATTATTATTCCCCATTAAAAAAATTCTCAAGAACAAAGCATCACCAAAAAATATATCTGGCTTAGAAATATGCTAGTGATATATTTTTACATATTTTCTAAATTGCATACAATCAACACATACTATGTTACAACAACAACAAATGTGATGTGATGAAAGAAGTTTCTATGTTACTTAAAGTCTTTTACACACAAGCCCTTTATCTGAACAAAACAAAGGAAGCACTGGCAAGTAAAAGAATACTGTACCTTCACTGCTACATGAAGTTTTGCTGTTTTCTTGGACGGTCCTGAGGCTTCATATGTTGTACCATCCACATCTACAGACATTGTGAAGACTGGGGCATGGACCGGACCAGATTGTGACAAAAGCTTATATTGAAGCCCAGGCCTGATCTGATTTAATCTCATTAGTGCATTCATAAGGTCTATTGCTTTACTGTCCAGAACTATGAGAGAAAGAGAAATTAGAACAGAAATGAATTAGCAAGCCATTTTGCTTCAAACTATACATCTGTAGCTTCCATTAACCGTGTTAACGGCCTAGAAGGGGGTCAGCACATAAGAACACTTTCAGTTCCCAGCATTCACATACATGGTAGTTCACTGCCACCTGTTAACTCCATTTCTAGGGTGGTGTGGGACAATTCTGTATTCTGTCAATTATGTTTTAAATAAATGCTGATTGGCCAGTAGCCAGGCAGGAAGTAGCCAGGACAATCAGACAGGAAGTAGAGGCGGGTCAATGAGAACAGGAAAATTCTGGGAAGGAGGAAGCCCATTTCTTCCTCAGTCCTGCCCAGACACCAAAGAAAAAAGATATGACCTACCACACTGAAGAAGGTACTGAGCCATGTGGCTAACATAGATAAGAATAATGGGTTAATTAATATAAGTTATAAGGGTTAATAAGAAGCCTGAGCTAATGGGCCAATCAGTTTATCATTAATATAGATTTCTGTGTAATTTCTTTGAGATATACCAGTTGTGGGACCTGTTGGGAGGACAGAAACCCCCAACAAGCAGGCCCTCATGTTACACTAGGGTACTTCATGCCCTCTTCTGACTTCTGCAGGCACCAGGCATGCACATGATGCAAATATATACATGCAAGCAAAACATCCATAGACATAAAATAAACATAATGTTTTTAAATATATGTTTACAAAAATGAGAATTTTAAAGTACAAATACACATTCACTCCATGAGAAAGTAATCTTTGAATTTCTTACACTAATCAGATGGTAAAAATAATGTCCCAATAATTTCTATTTGTCAGCATTGATGTCTTAAGCAATGAAATTTAGAAACTCAGTTCTATTACCAATTTTGTCAACTCATGTCTATTCTTAAAATTCTATTTCAAGTTAATGAAACTCTTCATTTCTTATTTTTCTGAAGTTATAAACCTTCTCTAGTTCCCACAATAAGAATAAGGATTTACATACTTTTCCTTAAGTTTCGTTTCATCTTCTTATTGGGATCTTTATCATCCCCTAATCCATCTTCAAATGGCCTCTTTAGAGTTGAAGATCCAACACCTACAAATAATTTTGAGATCTTCACTGTCAGTTAAAACAAGGATCCTTTTAATATTTTAGTGGGAAAAAAAACTCAAAAAGATCACACAAGTTTTTCAACAATCAATTAAAACACCATACTTATAATCTAGAATATGCAATGTTCTTTTGAAACCATTTATTATCATTTTTGTAAATACCTATTCAACATTTATTCAGGTATATACATGCCTATGTCTATGCTATGGTCTGGATGCTTCTGTCCTCCTAAAATTCATATGCTAAATCTTAATTTCCTATGGAAAGATGTTGAGAGAAGTTATGTGAGAAGCAAAATCCTAATGAACATCAGTTAAGAGTTGTAAAATACACCTGAAAGAGAATCCCTCTTCCATAAGAAGACATATAGCAGGCGCCATCTTTTGGGAAGCAGAGGAAGGTAGATCTGAAGTCAAGAGTGGTCTACAAAGCAAGTTCCAGGGCAGCCAGGGCCACACAGAGAAACCCTATTGAAGAAGAAAGAGGAAAGAGAAAATAAGAGGAGGGGGAGGGGGAAGAGGAAGAGGAGGAAGAGAAAGAAGAGGAGGAAAAGGAGGGGGGAGAGGAAATGGACTATTATCAAGTGTTGGGTGGTGGTAGCACACACCTTTGATCTTAACATTTCAGTGGCAGAGTCAGGCAGATCTCTCTATATCTAAGGATAGCCTGGTCTACAGGACAGCAGGGGCTATGCAGAGACACGTTGTCTCAAAATACCAGAAGGGGAAAAAAGGGCCATTACCAGACACCCCACCACCACCTTGTCTTCTACTTTATAAAGTATTTTAACATGAGACTTAGAAACATAATGGAAAGGAACCTTAAAAAAAACTGATACTAATAAAAATGTTAGATTAAGCAACCAGTCAGCAACACTCCCAGGCTTAAGGCAGGAGCTTTGTGGCCCAAGTTTCAAAGGAGAAGAAGTCATCAGCCTGTTCAAGTACATTAATGAATTCTGTCTTCAACTTAAAAACTAGTTCACGGGACTTTTCCTAAGAAAACTATGCTCAAGATAAATGCCCACAGTGAAATTCTGTATTTTCTCACTATCAAGATTTATTGTCTCTTGGCATAAACAGTTCAGCAATTGCTTGAGTCAGTATTTTCCAGTCAGGTCAATCTTGATGTTCTCCAAGTGTCTACCTAGAATTATTTTGTTTGCATATAGTTGTAAGTACATCAGTCTTCTATAATACAATATTTACAAGATAAAAGCTTTTAAAAAGGGAACTATGTTTATTCAATCATTGCTCCATTCATTCTTTGCATTAAAAGCAGTTTCCTAACCGACTAGAAAGTATAAGTGGGTTAAATAGATTTATGTATGCCAGCTATATGGACAGGATTCTGTGGCTTATTTTATTAGTCCTGTCATTTGGAGAAGAACTCAAATATCTGGGGCTAGTCACAGAATCAGGGAAAACATGGGCTTACATCTATACATAGCAAGACATTTTTACCTTCATGGTCTGGTAATGAGAAGAGATCACTTCTGAGGTTTGGCACGATCCTTAGTCCTTTATATGTAACAACTTTATCTTCACAAGCACTTTATTGTTCCCATTATATACTCATACATATATCTATTCAATAACCATTTTCAAAATTTACTACTTACAGGCAAAGTATTTAACATGTAACAGGGACAAACAGCACCCCTATTCTCAAACCCCAATGTGGTTTTGGTTATGTCAGATTCCATGCACATGTGCACACATACACATTTTAATAATGTACTTTAACTTGCACATAGTATGTGTACATAGGCAACTCACAATGCACTTAGAAATTTTAGAATGCCCTCACTCAACAAACTACATTAGCAACGTGTACTCCCATCTCTAAATAATAGTTGAAAATTCTTTGATGGGGGAGGGTCATTGGCTAATAAAGAAACTGCCTTGGCCCATTTTATAGGTTAGAACATAGGTGGGTGGAGTAAACAGAACAGAATGCTGGGAGGAAGAGGAAGTGAGCTCAGACTCGATAGCTCTGCTCTCTGGAGCAGACGCAATGAAGCTCTGACCCAGGATGGACGTAGGCTAGAATCTTCCCGGTAAGCGCACCTCAGTGCTACACACATTAATAGAAATGGGCCAGACAGTGTTTAAATGAATACAGTTTGTGTGTTGTTATTTCGGGGTATAAGTTAGCCAGGCGGCCGGGAGCCAGGCTGTGGGAAGAGGCCCACAGCTCCCTCAACAATTCTTGACCCCTAGTAGCAATCAAATTTAGACAATTTCTACGCAGGTGTATTCCCAATATGTACAAGTATAAACAAAAGAAGAGAATATTTAGCCTGAATAGGTTTGGTTTCAATTCTTAGCACCCACATAACAGCTACCTCTAACTCCATTTCCAAAGAATCCAACGCCCTCCTTTTGGTCTAAACAGGCACCAGGCATGTATGCGCTGCACAGACATAAAGGCAGGCAAGGCAAAACAGACATATACATAAAATTCAAAAAGTGTTCATCTATGTCAAAGTTGCAGTAGGATAGAATAAGGGCTCAAAGCAAACCACTGAGTGTGGTAAGGGAAAGGTCCCAGGCAATACTTCAGAAGTGATGAGGAAGAAAGCCTGATAGAACAAGCTCAAATCATAGAAAAAGTTAAATATTTCCACATTCTGTAGGCTGCCATTTTGTCTTGTTGACTGTGTCCTTTGATTACACTCCAAAGTCCGAGTTTTTAAAGTATGGTGCTCCCGTTTCTTTACCTCCTCTTCCATTGTTCTTTCTTTGTTCATTGGCACTTTGTCCCACCTCCACTTCCCTCTCTGTTTTCATTTGCCTACTGCTCTTTTGTCCCGCCCCAACTTCTGTCTCTCTTTAAGGTTTCATTTAGTCCCGCCTGCACTTCCCTTCCAAAGTGCTCAGCCCCATGTAGCTCTGTGCCCACTTCCATTCCAAAGTGTTCCAAAGCCACATGCCGCTGAGCACCCCCCCTCAAAAAAGTGGCCTAGCCCCTCTGTTCCAAAGTGCCTGTCCAATAGAGCGGCTGACTCCAGTTCTGGAAGCGGAATGGCCGGTTCATGGAGCGGCATTGCCCATCAGCTTCACTAGCCTGCAACAAAACAGGTTTCTATCTGGACCCGGCACAGGCAGGGGGCTTGGCCTTACGTTCTCCATAGCTGGTATCTGCCTTCCATGTTCAGACTACTCTGACACCTCCGCTTCTGCCCCGCCCTTTCCTGCTGACAACAAATCGCCCCCCCCCCACTCTAGAACTCACTGATGACAACTTATGCAGGAGAGGTTGTAGGGAAAAGGGAACACTTCTGCATTGTTGGTGGGAATGCAAGCTGGTACAACCGTTTTGGATGTCAGTGTGGCAATTTCTCAGAAAATTAGGAAACAACCTTCCTCAAGACCCAGTAATACCACGTTTAGGTATATATCCAAAGGATGCTCAATCGTGCCACAAGGACATGTGCTCAAATATGTTCAAAGCAGCATGGTTTGTCATAGCCAGAACCTGGAAACAACCTAAGTGCCCCTTGACTGAAGAATGGATAAGGAAAATGTGATACATTTACATAATGGATTACTACACAGCAGAAAAAAATAATAACAGCTTAAATTTTGCAGGAAAATGGATGAAGCTAGAAAACATTATTTTGAGTGAGGTAACCCAGACCCAGAAAGACAATTATCACATGTACTCACTCATAGGTAGTTTTTAAACATAAAGCAAAGAAAGCCAGCCTACAAATCACAATCCCAGAGAACTTAGACAACAATATGGACACTAAGAGAGACTTACATAGATCTAATCTAGGTGGGAAGTAGAAAGTAGAAAAAGACAAGATCTCCTGAGTAAATTGGGAGCATGGGGACCTTGGGGGAGGGTTGAAGGCGGGAGGGAAGCAGAGAAATACGTAGAGCTCAATAAATATCATTAAAAAAAATCCTTCACACCAGTGTATCATAGTTTAAACTAACTGGTAGAAGTGGTTATTGAAATACATTACAAGTTTGGCAAATTAAAAAAAAAATCCAAGGTTTTAAATTTTAACCCCAGCCAGTTTTAAGCATATTTTGTAGGTTACTCCTGCTGCCTATGTCAAGACCAACCTACCAAAATGCTCCCAGGACAACACCAAAAGCACCTATACCAGCTCCTGGACTTCCCCACTGGTACCAGCTCTCCTGGATCAAGAACACCTGCCAACTAAAATCTAGTTTCCTCTGCTATTGTGTCTCATCCCATAACTAGCCCCATTTCATATTTTTTTTTCCTCCTAGACACCTACCTGCCTTCTTACCTTCCTCAAGAAACAAATGCCTGGCGTCTCCGACATGACAGTGAACAGGATACCTTTCCAGCCACACCACCCGCTGAATGTGGACCCACCAACACCCAGCTGCATGCCAGGAGGAAGTAGCTAGACTTGAGTCTACGCCCTTTTTCCAAAGAGAGCCAAAAATGTTGGGTCATAATTATCACCTCAACTTCCTGTCACCTCTATATCCAAAGAGTGTGGAATGTTAAGTCTGGAGCACAGCTCCAGCCCCTGGCATCCATCACAGACCCCGGCATCCATCATAGCCCCCCCTGGCCTGGGAGTTGCATTTGTCTGCACTCCAAATCCCAGCATGCCAGGTCCTGACTCTTCCCTTGGGGAGGGTCAGGACTACTTCCACAGAGTATTTAAATGGGCTCCCAGAAGAGAAACACATGGTTCCAGGTTTGCATGTGCTCCCTGCTGTCCTGTCTCCTCCCCACCATGCGCTTGGCCACCCGAGAACACCATACTTAATAAAACAACGGGCATTTTAGTTTGGTTTGATCTGACCTAATTGTATTTCTTTGCACCAGCAGAGCTGACCCTCTTAGGATTATTTTTTCCTAACACTACCACAACAACAAAATAATAAAATTTAATAAACACTGCTCAATAGTATTTCTAAATAGCAAGTCTCAATTTTCCAATTAAAAGCAGACTAACAGAGGGATTAGGAAGCAGGATGATTCTTTTTGTTGCCTATAAGAAACATCTCGCTGGGCAGTGGTGGCACACATCTTTTAATCCCAGCAGTCGGGAGGCAGAGGCAGGTAGATCTCTGTGAGTTTGAGGCCAGCCTGGTCTACAAGAGCTAGTTCCAGGGCAGCCACCAAAGCTACAGAAAAACCTTGTCTCAAAAAACAAATAAAATAAAATAAAATAAAATAAAATAGAAACACATCTCATTAAAGGCAGACACCACTTTAGGGTAAAAGGACAGAAAAAGATATTCCAGGCAAATAGAACTAAAAGACAAATAGGATATTCTAATACCAAACAAAACAGATTTCAAACCAAAACTAGACAGGACAGGAAAATTCATACTCATTAAAGGAAAAATTCACCAAGAACACACCACAATTCTAAACATTTACACAACAAAGGGGCAAATATGAAATTGGGTAACTTCATAAAAGAAACAATCTAAAACTCACAGACTGACACTAACACAGTGAAACTGTGGGACTCCAATAACCCACTCCCATCAAAAGGTTATCCAGATACAAACAGAGAAACTCCGGAGTTAAATGACATCATAAATCAAATGGACCTAACAGAACATTCTATGCAAACAGTAAAGAATTCACTTTCTTCCAAAACTGACCACAATGCAAGTCTCAACAAATATAGAAAAACTAAATGTCCTGCATCCTCTGGTCACAAAAGTATAAAGCTGATTTCCAACAACAATAGAAATGGCATAAAACAGACAAACTCATGGAAACAAGACAACAAGATACTGAATGAAAGTTGGGTCAAGGGAGAATCAAAAGGAAATTGAAATCAGGCAGTAGTGGGACAAGCCTTTTTTTTTTTTTTTTTTTTTTCCCTTTTTGGTTTTTTGAGACAGGCTTTCTCTGTATAACTGAACAACCTGCTCTGGAACTAGCTCTGTAGATCATGCTGGCCTTGAACTCACAGAGATCCAACTTCCTCTGCCTCCCAAGCAGTACATGCCTTTAATCCCAGCACTCGGGAGACAGAAGGAAGCAGATATCTAAATTTAAGGCCAGCCTGGTCTATAGAGCAAGTTCCAGGACAACCACAGAGGTGTAAAACTTCGCAGAATTGAATCAAAATAAAAACACGACATAATATACCAAAATCTATGCAAAACACTAAAGGCAGTCCTAATAGGAAGGGCCACAATACAGTGCCTATCATCAAGAAACTAGAGAGATCTCATGTTATATATTTGAAAACTTAAAAAAATAAAAAAGAACAAACACCCAAAGAAAGTAGGAAGAAATAATCAACATAGGGCTGAAATTAATGAAGTAGGAAAGAAAAATAACAATACAGAATCAACGATATAAAGAGATGGTTCTTTGATGGGGGGAACTAAAACAAAATTGCCAAACCTTTAGCCAAATTAACCAGAAAGAAAGATCTAATCAAAATTAGATCTAAATTAACAGAAGAGACTGGGGGAACACACCAGAGGTTAAGGGCACTAGTTGCTGTTGCAAAGGACCTGGATTTGTTTCCCAGGACCCACATGGTGACGCCTAGAAAGAAAGACACTCTCCAACATGTTGAGATGTCTGTAGGCTATGGGGAGGGGAGGGGAGGGGAGGGGAGGGG